AACTGAGGCTGAAACTGAAGAAAAACAACTGTTGTGTAAGAGGCAAAATGTTGCGCAATAGCTAACAGCCACCGTGGCATCAATAAACACTGGACTGTTTTGTTTGTTTGTTTGTTTTAATTTTCTAAGTCTGGACGCAGTTTTCCATAAAATGGGAAAATTAGTCACACTTCACGGCATTTAAGAAAAATAATAGATATTTTTTAACTATTCAGAAATCAGAAATACTTTATTTCGAGGGGACACTTTTCAGTTGCTTTTATACTGTATGCAGGCATAGAGAAATTAAAGAAAATTGAAATAGGAAATATGCAAGAACAAATACGTTACGCAACCATAAAAAAATATTGAGCAGCCCTGCAGCATTGTGATCAGACGACACATAACATTAAAAAAGTATTACTCACATGATCTGTCCTCCAATAGTTGATTTACCAGCATCTGACAGACAAAAACATTCAGAAGATAAATGAAAGTTTCTACAGTCTTCCTCAGATAAATTAATATACATATAGATACAAATGGGACGCACCCACGTGACCGATAAAGACCACGTTCACATGTTCTTTCTTGGGGGCATCTGGTGGTGCCGGAGCCACTTTAGGCATGGGCATCTCCTCTTCTTCCTCCTCCATCATCATCTCCTCATCCTCATTCCTCGCAGCGCCCTCCTCACAGGCTCCTCCTGAGCCCAGGTCCTCCTGTCCTCCGCCTCCTCCTCCTCCCCCTGGCTCCTCCTTCTGCTCCCACGTCTCTTCCTCTGTGGTCATGTCTGCATCTGTGCCTCCATTCTCCACCGGAGCTGAAACCAAACAAACGTATATATATATATATATATATATATATATATACACACACCTGGTATTCCTCTGTAATGTCTAGATGCTACGGAGGACATATTTAATATTATAACATCTTTTTGGCTGGAATGAAAACCTGCAGACTGATGGCGAATAAATCCTGATTGATTCTGAATCCTGGAATTCACTCAAGCTGCGACGTTTCTGCCAGTTTTATGTTTATACCAAACTTTAATCCTTTTACCACATTTGCACAAAAATTTGGAACAAGAGCCGCTTTTGCACACATCAAACACATGCAGGAACAAATCCAACTTCAAAGACAAAACTGCACTGAGTGAAGTCACTTTATTCCCTTGCATCTCCTACACCATTATCATTCACCTGCTCTATTTTTGACAATATGTTTAGTTTGTATTGTGCATCCAGTTATGTCATTTTATGTTGTTGTAATTTTATCTCTGACTGAATTTACATTCACGTGCTATGCTGTGGTGCAGCAGTTAGCACTATTGCTGCACAACAACAAAGTTCTGGGTTCAAGGCTGCTGGTCAGCTTGGGCCCTTTTATGTGGAATAAACTGTAATTTAAACATCCAATCTGTCAGAGAAATACATGTGTTCACTGTCACAACAGCTGCACAATCTCTCTTTGGTTGTCAACCACAAGGTCAACTGTTGGTTGTGTCCTTGCGTGGATGTTTTTAAGACTGAACAGACCTTTTCGGGTCATTTCTAATCTTAAACTTTTATTCTATGGGCGCCCCTGTAGTTCACCAGAGGCCTGTATTAAAAAAGCAGGATATCTTTTCGTTATCTAGCTTGACTAATCCTAACACTGGCTGTCTGGAAAGCCGGTATTACAAGGCTGGTTATCAGTTAGTTCAGTCAACTCTGGGTCTTCCTATCCAACCACAAGCATGTACTGTACATGTGAAAGAGGCGGGGATGTTAATTATGAGCAACATCATCAGAACCATGAATGAAGTCGGCTACTTCGGTACCAAAAGTTTCCGGGACTGTGAGACAGTAAGATGTCAGTGGCATGGGATGTAAATAATACTCTGTAATCTTATAACGGAAAACGTAGAAATATTTTGAATACTATCCAAAAATACACTGTCGGCTGAGACTTAAATTACGTGTAGGTATCACTAGGCTATATGTGACATATGTTTTGCTATTTAGTTGGAAGATGATGAAACTACTACTAAAAGACTGCTTCTGTTTCTAATGAAATCTAATCTTTTTTTCCCTAATTCTCATCACACAGGTGTCTCATGTTATTTTGAGCTGCAGTGATGGAATCAGAGTGCAAAGTCTCAACACTACCACTGTAGACTAAACTTTGCACAAGTTGAAATACAGCTAAAATCATGTGTTTAGCGCTGTAAATGATCTTTGTGTTTGTTAGAAGCTCTGTTTTGAAGCCAGTAGAAATAGAGCCCTGAAACAATGAAATGATTCTCCTGACCTATAGCAACATATAGGCTCCTCTTTTTTACATGAGACTTTGGACGTTTATCCATGGATACTCTTTTCTTCAGTGATCTGATTGGTCAGAGGTCAGGGTGTTGACAGGCTGTGATCAGATACTCTGAACATAACCTGCTCTGGAGCTGTTAGCTGTTCAGCATGTTACCAAAGCGATTTATCCCGGTACAAAAGAGAACCAGCCTTGTAGTACTGAAAACCCAGAGTTAACTCTGTTAAGTTACCTCGCTAACTCCAAATCCTGCTTTGCAGTACAGACCTCAGGTGGAGCACTTATCAGTGAGGCTGAGAACTTACCACAGTGGCCCAGGTTCAAGTCCATACCAGGCTCTTTGCTGCATGTCATCACATCCCCTATCTTTCCTGTTTCTCTCACACTTTTAAAAAATAAGCAAAAATGCTAAAAAAAAAAATATATATATATATACATCTAATAGAATAATTATTTTTCAAAAATCTAACTGCAGCAAAAACTATAAAATTTCTCGGTGCAACAACTATAGTTGAAGCTGTCTACATATATGAAAGACCTCAAGGATAGCAGACGCTCATAAAAGTTATTTGCCTTTGCTGGTATTCTATAAAGAGTTGCAAGACTTCACTGTGGTCTGCAGTTAATCATTCATTAGTCCTGTCCAACTCGTTAGAAGCACAATCAGTGCAATGTTCTACTGAACAAATAACAAAACAAAAGAAAAAACTGTAACGAGAGTACGCTGAAATCTGCTGATCTCTGCAGAAGGAGCATCTTCCCATGGCAACACACAAATAAGCCTCCCATTTCCGTAACTATGAAATAATGCAGCCCAGCAGTCATGTACAAAGCCTATTTTCTTCTCAACCCTCCTCGTTTATAACCAGCCTGTGAGATATTGCTGCTGGCAACTCAGAGCACCATCCATGCCTTGACTTTGTCGACAGTCTCATCGTGCTGTAATTAGAATTTTTCTCTCAGACACGCTCAGAGAAATCTGACAAGGCAAGTATTAGAATAAGCATCTCCATGAATATGTCTGTGGGAAATGTGAAAAGGAAAGGTATCTCATCATTCTCTCTGTCTAATAAATATACATAGCATCTGATCTCTTTTTTTTGGCCTCCCTGTGTCACTCACTCTGCTATAGCTGCAGTGCTCAGCCACTCTATTAAAAAACAAAAACACCACCAGTTCTCTGTAACCTGAGAAGAGGCATACAGCATCCAGGGGTCAAAATGTGACTGAACCTGATTCGCGCAAATTAAAACTAGTCAGCAAGTAGTGACTGAAGGAATGGCACAAATGCAAATTGGTTTGACACTCAGCAGACAGAGACCTCGGACATGCCGCGCTTGACACACCACAGTGTGGGCCAATGGGATGTCTATTTCGGGCATGGACAAGTGAGGTTGCATCATATTATACGTAGGCCCATGCACATGAGTTTACCAATGCCAGCAATCCAAATATGGCTCAGTAAGTGAACCTACAAGAAGGGGCTCAAAAGTGAGCATCCAAGCTTTCCTGGTCTGCATGAGGCTTGGTCTGATTTCAAATCTGGCAGCAGGTAAAAGTGCACACCTGAGCCTGTAACCACACCTATCCTGTGGTAACAACCGGCCTGACAGGCAGAGCTGTAACTGATGAACTTTTAGATGTGGTGCGAGGTGTACGATGTGGGTGCATACCAGCTGTTTCTGCCACCTCCATGCTGGCCACTGGGTCAGGGGCACCTTTGAGGAAAGAAAGCAAAGCATGTCAAACTTCCATAAATATTTATTAGACAATGATTGTCAGGCTTAACGTCTCGTTGTGACAGTTACTGCGTTATAAATCTGCTACTACACCGTCACAACACATGACTAACACTGAAGCCGACTTGTTGATTAGTTAGTGGAAATGCGATCACTGTGGCACAGGCTGGACTGAGCACATCGAGTTACACTGAGCAAGGCTAACTTAGCTGGATTAGCAGTCAAGCTAGCAAGTTAAGCTAACTTCCAGCCAGCTGTCTGGCATTCACGTACCGTCTGAGGCCGGCATTTCCACGGCGCTGGCTTGAAGGAAGCTCGGTACAAACACCGGGGCATTAACGTTGGGGACAAACGGCTTGGCGTTGACGTTGAGGGCGGCGAAGGCGGTGGGGAGCTCCGCCGCGGCAGCCGGGGCCTCGGCATCCTCCTCCAGCTCCCACGAATCCGGGGCTGTGTCTCTCGGGTCCATCGCACCTTTTTCTAGAGTTGACAAGCTCTCCACTACCGGGGAAGGTGGATGGTTTGTAAGGTTCCGTTAAAACGCGTTGAGTTGCTGGTGTGTTTTAGACTCTTAGCAGCACGTTTGGTGAAGTTCCCATTGCTTTGTTAAGCCTTGCTTTCGCAAGCATATGGATCCCGTAGCCGACGAGAAGTGCTGTACAGCCGCCGCACGTCCCGCAAGCACCGCTAGGGGCCAGCACCGGACTCCTGCTCACTGTACCAACATGTTAACACCAACTTTACATGTCTCTTATCTGTGGGTAGTCTGAGCAATCTCCGGAATTATAAACTGTAAAAAAAAGTACATAACAATATATTGCCTTGTGTTTATTTTAACATTTATGAAACACAGGGAAAATACAACAGAGTATAAATAGAATAAATACATCAAAAGTACCTGGTACAAGACTGTCAGCATGGCTTCAATAAGTTTTATAAGTTAACAAACTCAATAAATAAATCCATTAAAATACCTTACATAACTTTAAATAGTCAGGAACAGAGGACTGTGCTAACATGTGTGTCTCCTCGTGTTATCCTTCACTCTTTGGCATCAGTAATTCCTCCAGCAGAGATGGCAAACGTGGCCTCGTTCTCAGGCATATCGGGACTAGAGGAAATCAAGGAGAGATTAAAAAAAAAAAAGTAGAGTAAATTTGAGTCCCAAATGTTTTAATTGTTCACATTAATTAGTCTGAGGTCACAGGCCAGATTCAAGTCATTAACAATCAAGTCAAAGCAACCACTTTTAGTTTACTCATACATGTTAGAGCATTTATCTTCAGTTGTTTTTTGACATGGTATACATTTTGTACAGCTTCTCCTGACAGTTCATTTGTAAGCCACTCCTACACTATGCACTGCACGCTCACTAGTACATCACATCATACCTCCAACGGTGTGTTTAAAACGACATTTTCATCTCCTCTACAAGTAGGCCTATGTTGATGATTAGCAGGTACAAAGATAGGCTCAACTTGAAAATGGTGTTTAATAGTCACATCATGAGATACACTTGGGGCAGAACATGACTTTTTAGGACACACAAATGTTATTTTTTAACTATAGACTGTCTAAGGCCTTGAGTAGGGCCTTAGTGATATGAGAAAAGTAAACTAACATGATAGGCAAAAAAACCTTATTGACATGTCACAGCATCTATTCAGGTTAGGGCTGGGCAATATGGAGAAAATCAGGTATCATCATATTTTTGACCTGACACCTCAAAATTGATATTGCAGATATTTCAGTGTTGTGTTTTGGTGCTTTTACAAAATATCTACCCAATAATATTTCTGATAAATATTTATCAGTGATGTAAATATAATGACCACAAAAAATTTACATCACTTTACTGTAATGACACCTTTCAAACCAGGAAATAAGACAACATTTATGATATTTAAATATCTAAAATCTGAGAGGATAACTAGTTTCTTATCATGATTGATTATTACCCAGCCCAAATGTGGGTACAGATAACATGGTAACAGGGAAATAAAACTTCAATAAAACATCAATATTATAATCAAAAACAGCCAACTACCTGTCGAATATTTTGGCAATCCTCATCTCTCCACGCCCCTTCCTCAAGCTGATCCGTGTGGTGGAGGCGTGGGCCAGGATATGCCCACCGATTGGCTTCTTGGGATCAGCCTGAAAACTAAAACAAGGCCAAAAAAATTTAAAAAACAAAACAATGTTGCACTCAACATGTCAGCAACCAAACAGAATTTTAAGTATAACACCTGTCTGATTTTTTCAGAATTAGAGAATTTGCTATCTCTTACGTCATTCCTGCACCGGGATCAGCTGTCATTTGGTTGGTGACAAAAACGGCTACGTTGTACTCTAAGAAAGGACATAAATGAAAGCAAATAATCAGGGATTATCAGGGATATTACTCCATTTTTACTTAATACATATTTAAGGCCATCATGTGAGAGACACACAAGCTAAATTAGTCAAAAACAGCAGTATTAATTTCTGCTGATATTCCCTGTATATGACAGATAAGATATATGGCTGATGTCTGTGGCTTTTACATATTTGCACATAAGCAGACTCCTGGTTCAGACCTTCTGAGATCTTCTGCAGCCTGGAGAGCATCTGCGCCAGTTTCTGCTGCCGCTCAGCCAGCTCGCCTCGACCAGAGAAGTCTACTCTGAACAGAGCCATGATGGAGTCGATGATCTGACAACAGGGAGGAGCAGACAAGAAGGAGACTGAAAGGCTGAGGGAGCTAGACAGAGATGCCTACTTTTAGAATTTATGCCTGCTGTTTAACACACAGAAATAAAAACAAGAATGTGTTCATTCTCGCCCTCCAATAGCTTCACGCAGAGAATGACTAAAATAGACAGGGGAAGTAAAACCACAAACATGATGAATATGTGAAAACATCTTTTTAGAGTTCATACTTTTACTCACCAACAGTTTGAACACTCCTCCTTCCTCATGGAATTTAGCTGCTACAAAGTCCAACAGCTCCATCTGATGTTCACCTGAGGAGTGAGCAAGACAAATGTTTAAATGTTAGTGTTGTTTCAATACAAACTGCTCTGCCTTTAGAACACCACAAAAGTTTTCTGGTCTAAATGAACTGTGTGTTCGCACTGGTATAGGCCCGGGCATAAAGCACGTTGTCCAGCACAGCACTGTGGTCCACATTAAACCTGTCAGCGATGTCTCTCAGTCTGTCTGGACGACTGGAACCACACAGGTACAAGTCAAGGATAATGAGAAACATAGGCTGATACACACATGAACAGTCAGTGTAGTCACATTATGGCAACTACTGGAGAAATATCTCCTATAAACATGTTTTCAAAATCAGCACATAGTGGGGATGTCATGCATGGAGCCATGTGTTGACGATGGTAGCAGCTATAGCCAAGGTTCCTCCTGGGACAGCAAATAAACATCACCCAAACTGCATATCAAATGTTGTACAGCTGTTTCCATCAACATGAGGATACAAGGTGTTCTCTGTGTCAATGAAGACGACTTTCCCACCTGAGTAGCCATCCTCGCCTGGCAGCTGAGCAGTGACTGGACAACAGCAACACAGAATCTGTTTTATTTGACTTGTACAGTGTTGGTTTATCAGCAGCCGCTTTCAAATGCCATGTTACTCACCACAGAAAGTGTGAGACAGCTGAGTTTTTCCTGTGCGGAACTCTGTAGGATGAAATAATGTTGGGAGTTTTGAGCCAGTACTCCAAACTAAGTGATATTCAAACAATCTAATCATATACAATATGTTAAAGTATAGGAAGACATCCTCTTACCTCCAAAGGCCTCTGTGATAGCCATGCTCTCTATACCGCCACCTAAAAGTTTACTGCAGAGATAAAAGGTGTTTTAACATCTACACAATAAAATGTCAATACTTAAGAAAATATATGTATTATGCCCCTTTATCTCCCACCTTGATAATATAGTATATGCAATTGTAAATGCATAAAATAAAAATATAAAAAGATATGTTCAGTGGTGTAAATCCTACATTCAACATGTTAACAATATTAAGAGTAAATCTTAACTCGAACTCCTGGCTCCCGGTTGTGATGTGGAACACCTGCTTCCTCTTGGCGCTGTACTCAAAGGCAGTCTGGAAACCAACATTCTACAATGTAAAGGAAATTATCTAATACATAAAACATTCTGCAGCGTGCAAGTAGTTCAGTCTTCCACAGGAATAAATGAGAACAGGTTAAAGAATGACACAAAATTCACAGGAGACAATCCCAATTTTACCAGCATCTTCCCAGCAGCCTCCTTGATTTTTTCCACTTTTGCCTCTGACAGGCCCTTGATGTTGCACAAAGCCTTGCGAGTGGTCATCTGGATCCCCTTCACAGTGCAGATGCCCACTAACTTCAGCTTTTTGATGTCTGCCATATTCTGTGGTCACAAGTGAGGAGGAACAGAGAGATGCTCACATATACAAATTATTTTTGAACTGATGTGAAAAATCTGCACATGTTTCAGCCCTGCTGCTTATTACTCACAATCCCATGTTTCTGTAGGAGGTCAATGTCTTGGAAGAAGGACTCCTGTTAGGGTCAGAGGAAAAGAAAATCTATATGAGGAAGTTGCTGAGCAGTAAACTTGAATACTGAAGAGATTTTTTTGACCCTAAAAACATCTGTAGTAACGTTATGCATAAGTTATCAGTATATGATTAGGTTGTCACACTATTGTCATATAATATTTATTACATTAGCTAAATTGTTTTCAATAAAAAAAGTTTATATTTTAAATTGTTCTTATTACAATTATATTGATATATGTTGTGTACATATTCCTATCTGGACAGTTTGGTCATTTAAATTGTTAGTCAGGCTCATAATTAGCATTGATGGCAACTCATTTAAAAATTTAATGGCTATGGGGGAATTTTTTAGCAAAGTTTATTAGAATTTTTAATTATATCTCACCTCCTCATCCTGGTAACCACTATCTTCTTCAACGACCTGGTCCTCTGCACATTTCATTTTCATGTAGTAACGTTATAAATTAAACGCTGAAGATAAAATGGATGTTAAGATTCAGTTACTGTCAATCAGTAGGGATCATTAGCCAAGGTTAGCTAAATTAGCTTGCTAATCTTTCTAGCAAATTGCTAATTTAGTTAGCTTACACTGTTTTTTTAACTGCTCACAACATAAACAAAACTGTCGGTAAAGCTATCAAAACTTTGCTTGGTCGACTGCGTTACCTCAAAAACAACCAGAATCTCAAGATATTGATTAAAAAATACAAGTTTAAATTAAAAGAAAATGTTTAGAGACCTCTTTGGTTCTTGAATTAGCTTGCGCGAGGCAACTGGCGGGAATCCGTAATTGTTGTCTCATTCAAATGCAGTCGGAAATTAGAAATGCATCAGTTGAACGAACATAAACCAGGGATAATTTATGACGTTGCTAATAATTATTGATTACATGTGCCGAACTCCATAAAGTGCTATATAGCAGGTTTGAATTTTCAAAAATGTTCATTAGAAAACAAACAGAACATGTTCCCATTATAAGCCTTAGTTCTCTTTTTACATCCATGCTCAGGACCAGGAGCTGAAAGAGAGCAGTGAATGCAGCACGTTTTCTGGACTCTTTGTAGTGTTGTGTAGTGTATGTGCTGCTTTCTGGATATAATGGATATGCTATATATGTTATTATTCTGTGGTGTCTCATGGCGGTTGGGTATAGTTGTATGTGTGATACAATAATAAAAACCTAAGCATCATCATCATCATTACTACAAAAATGGACCCTTTTCACTGCAGACATGTTGCAGCAGGACAAGCACAAGTGTAAATAATATTAGTTATGACTGCATTATATTAAGGTGCTTCAGTTCCTGCTCCTGGGTAATAATTAATGTCTTGATTGCACTTGTACTTTCCCTGCTATGAATAGTCAAAATGTCTGCTGTGAAGAAAAGGTGTTTAGGGCATTTGAATCTGTTAGCTATTTTGAGACAGTTGAAAAAGAAAAAACATGAAAATTCAGTGAAAAAATTATTCCTTAACTCCTATTCACTTATTTTTATATCATAAACCATTTAAAATGTCATTGCTTTACTTGGCTTCCATTCATGATTCCTTATACAATCATTTCTGGGCATTTCTGAAAGTAAACACTTGGGTTTCCATTTGATTCGGTGCTTTAATTTTCGCAGTCATGTTGAACACAAAACAGAAACATGGGTTTGCTTACTGACCAGAGGTAAGAGATTGTAAATTCACATGGATGATGACAGAGAATAGAAAACATTCTCTTCAGACTGGATATGTCAGGGTAATATTGAGACATTTAGCATTTAAAAACTTCATTGGCCACCACAACCACATCTGTCCAGAACCGTATGACATGTGTTCTGTCTTAAATGACAAAATAATTGTGTTATATCACATACTATGAATGGAAAAAAGACACAACAATCTTTCATCATTTAACAGCACAGAATGTGGTGTTGGTACATTATACAATCCATTGCTTAAAACCAAAGCAATAACTGTGAAATGAGAGGCATTGCACTTTGACATACATACATACATACATACATAGTACAACTTTGAACCATGACAATTGTGCAGACAAACGCAGCACACAGAAGAGAGTGTCATTTAGCTCCTGCAAGTTCGAGGCCATTCTGTAAACCAACATTATCACTGTCTACAGGGTGCTCCACTCCACAATGCTTCAGACCTGTCTGTCAGATATTCTGTTAACATTAATCTCCACATATAAGTGGAACCAGCAAGCTCATGATGACATGCTGTAAGTGTAGCTCTTCAGACTGCAAACACCAAGACATACAACTGTTTCAATTTATCCACTTGCACCCACTATCTCCTAGAGAACACATTATTTATGCCTATATAAGTATTTATTTAAAAAAAGAAAAAGAAAAAAGAAGCAGTTCTCCTGGAAATAAGTCTCTGTGTGATGTTGGAATAAGGAGAGACAGTGAGACAGAAGTGTTAGAAATGCATCACATCCTCCGTATCCAATCCCGCCAGCCAATCCAACACATTGGAGTGAGCCTCATGCTGTTGACATACAGCTTTTGCTTCTTCTTTTTTTTCAAAACTGCAGTTCTCTGCCCTTCTCCATGGTCTCTCTGTCTCTCCTTGTGGCCGGCCCCGCTGTATCGCAGAACAGTAGATCTCAGGTTCATGCTGGCCCCTTTCTGTGTCTCACATCTTGCCAGGTGCAGGAGGCATCATTCCTGGCATCCCACCAGACATTCCAGTGTTGGGGCCCAGCAGGATCTGGAAGGGAATGAGTCAGTCATTCAGGTTGTGTGTTGATGTACTCCCAATTTGCCATTTCTGTTCATATTGCATTCAATCCTCCAGTATTTGCTTCCCCACATCTGTAAAACCTTCATTTTTGTGGCCATCTCTCCACTCATGGTTATCTTACATACACTTTAACACTCACCTGTCTCTGCTGTTGTAGCTGCTGTTGCTCCAGCTGTAGTCTTTCTGTCTCAAACACAACAGGCAGCACCAGGATCATGAAGGAGGTAGTACCGACCCAGAGTGCAGAGCGAGAAAAGCTGAAACAAGGTAACAACCTGATTAGTTTATAAATGTGTATGTCAATAGCTTCCAGTGATTTATAATGTGCGTCCACTTGGAAGATGCGAGTCTAGCTCAGGAAAACAAAGACAGGACCAGTAGCTGCTGCAGAGATTACCCTCAAATTAGCAGTTAATCTCTTGATCCACTGAGCTACCATGACACACAGTACAAATTCATGCAATTATAAGGGGAGACAGTAAACATACCTGTAAAACTTCTTAGCCAGTGAGACAGAGCACTGTGCAGACACCTCAGCAGCATTTCGCACTGTGTCAGGGAACATCTCTGTCAGGCCCCATAACCTCTCCATTAGTGTCTCATCCAGCTGAAGGAGATTGAGAGAAACATCAGATATGAAACTTTGGTGTGAGAGAACAGAAAATAAGCAATCAGGCAGCATCTCATGAATAAAAGCATCCTGAGAGAATACATCCACATGCATTTATCAATTTGGTAAATAGAGTTTGTCCATCCTGAAGGTTGCTACAGGTTGATTTAACTGTTGGTGTCAACACAGTGATTAATTAATTTGCTGTGGTGATAGCATGACAGTGACATAAACTGCTCTTTGAAGGAAACAATAGGCTACCTTTACCTATTGAACACTTTTGTAAAATAGCAACAGCCCACAGACTCATATAGGGTCTGACATAACCAGAGCAGACACCTCAGGTAGCTAGCTAGCTAGCATTGGTACAGCCATGTTAGCTAGCCATGCTTAGCGAAGAAAAAGCCAGGCTCAAAAAAACACTGTGTGACTTCATGTCAATTTTTGTTCCTGTTCACATTCCCAAAGTACCGCAGAATGACTAGCCACTTACGTCTTCATCTTCATCATCGTCAATCTCGTCCTCGGGGGGCCGGGTGGACACCGGGCCCGCAGCGGGGGAAAGCTCCTCGATTCCGGCCATATGTCCTGCTAGCCCGCTCCTCTCTGTCTGCTTGGTTCAGCTGTGTGTACGGCGAACAAGTCGCTATAAAGTACGTTAAAGCCGACAGACAGTTTAATGTATTTATAATGATTTCCCGCCGGCTTTTACTAAAGCTAACGTTAGGAGGCGTGCATATGCTCCAACGACAGACTGAGGTCACGGTAGGAAAACGTGAGGCTTGTCGGGACGGATGACGAAAGCAGGGCAGGGGTCAGTATGTGAGTCACCCAAAATAAACAGCGCCCCCTGCTGTGTCGGCTGTCTAATAGCAGCCTGTGGTGTCAGTGATGTCATTAATTCAAGTGGCTAAAAATACCACTCTAATGTATGTTTGTGTGCCTGGTATTGAGTCCAGGGCCTCCAAAGTATTCCTTAAAAGATAAATCAATAATTAATCTAACCTTTAATTTAAACAGCTCATGATAAAACAGATACAACTGCATTCTTACAAACTGTGACTTGTATTAAATGGATAATTCAGATTTGAGGTTCTTATCCATATAAGAACCTAAGATACCTACCTAAGATAGGCTGAGGATCAGGAGAGGAGAGCCGTGGGTGGGGCAGAGCTACCTGGACACAAGTCGGGGCTTGATCAACCCCGGCTGGTTCGCCTGGGAGAGGGTGTCTGATTGCTGAAAGACCCGAAACACCCAATGACCCCAGGTTACATCACTGAAGATGTGTCCAGGAGCACCAAGTTGGTGTATGTTAAAGAATGTTTTCACTGCTTTACTATGTTGTCAGACAGTGTTTTCCAGCTGGAAACTGAAGCCATTATATTGCTCTCTTCTGAGCCAGACTCCAGTGAGAAAAGCAATGTAACATTGCTGAACACAGGAGCTGCTGATCTACTGCTGCTTGAACAGTTATTTTGTTTGTGTTATTTTGTGACTTTGGCATTTAAGAGTTAGTTTAATAGAGCTAGAGCACAATATTCATTAAAGTCACACAATGGCACAAACTAACTCGTCATAGTAGCTGTAGACCAGCAGCCCCTGTGTTCAGCAAGCTAAAATTGTTTTCATCAATGGAGTCTGGTGGCTTTGACAACAGCATAGATGGGGAACTGAAGCGGTTAATGGCTTCCCCATTGGAACAGGTTGTCTGCGGCATGGTAAAGTGGTAAACAAATACTCTTAATATAGCAAACAGGTAAACTGATACTGACTTTTTTAGGTGGCTAAAATTTGTTTAGTTGCTGACCCTGTCCACAGCAGTACATTGCTTAGCTTCTGTGTTGGACTCCAGCCTGCTTCTCCAAACTGGGGGTGTGCTGACTGACATCTACTATATGTAATACACTGACTATACAATACCACCTCAAAAAATCCAGACTATCCCTTTAAGCACTATTGAATCACAAAGGAGTATCAAAATATCACTCATCAAGCATTGACTTACCTCACAATGTTGGTTTAGTGTTACATGATTATAAGATTTAGACTGGTAGAACACCCTGAAATTGTCATAACACCAATACAGTGTTGGAACACTCTGTACATGGTGAGACCAATAACAAAGCACAACAACACAGCAAAAAGGGATATCATATTTTGGCTGTGTTTTAATATGGTCTATTCTGTGCAAAACAAACATTGCCAATGTTTTGCCATTTGGTGGAGCTTGGTTACAGTCAGGAAATATAACACAACAAATATATTCACATTTTCCCTTATGAGTCAATGTGAGCTCAGCTCAGATACACCCTACCAGGCACATGGGTCAAGCCAAAGCCAAAGATGTGTAGACTATAGTACAGGTGAAAGTGGAGCCTAAGCTCCTCTCTTTAATGTTGAACATACATTTGAAACTGCAGGTACAGTGAAAATACATTTTGCTCATTTATAGATATACAATATTCTGTAATTTTATTGTCTTGAACAATGACAATTAAGTTTTATTTATCTACCTCAATTGGGCATATTTTATTGTATGCTGTTCGTGATACATGCTTTCCCTCTGTTCATTTTCATTTATGATTTTTTTTAAATATCTTAAATATCCTGCTGTATATAGCTTATATCTTGTTACTGAATAGAATACAATTGTCCCAGCCCTTTTAATTCCCTGTGAATTTGGAAAAAAAGACCTTGCCATGGTTTTCTATAGTGCAGCAGTGAAATGGCCACAAATGTACTTTTCAGCATATATGACACTTATACTGTGAACTATGAGTGTGTGTGTTTGTGCGGTGTGTGAATTGTAGCTTTAAATAGGCCTACTTGTTTTTATTGTTGGATTCAGCTTAATTTTTTTTAAGTTCACCATCATATGACTTCTCGGTAGATTGTGACGTTAATGCCTCTCCCAGCGTTTTTATCTTTTTTCCAGAGAAGTTGTTGCTGCTGTAATAGAGCAGGGGGGCTGGTCATGGAAAAGTTCTGGGATGCAGGGATTCCTTGTTTACATCCTCCCGGAGTACGCCGCGGGGGCGGGGTTGGCTCCGCCCTCATTCTTTAGGCCTGACGTCATTGTCGCTTGTGTTTTTTGTGAATGAAAGAATCCAACCTCAGAGAGCAGCGGAGTAATTCCGGGAAAAGGCGGACTGACATTTTGTCGCCAGAGTCGCTTCGACCCAGCAGGTAAATGATCATTTTTTACTAAATATCAAACGTTAATATATTTAGCTAGAATCCGCTGGTTAAAGCCGAAGACTAGAGGAATTGTATCCGGCGGAGACTGGCCAACAAACCAAGGACAAGTGAGCAGTCAGCTGTTTGCTTTAATCTCCTTTAGGTTAGCTCACCAGAAACCGTTGATGCTAGCTGCTAACAGTTAACATTACTAGCATGTTTAAGATGATGCGGATAATTCGGCTCTGCTCGTCATATTTATGCCTCTTTAAACGTAGCTTTTAGCAACCAGACGAGTTCCTCACTTCCTTGTTAACTGTGTCTTTCAAAACAATTTAAAAGGATTATTTAAAACGTTACTAAAATGGATGTCGAGGGCTCTCGTGATGGCTGTTTACTATAGCAGCAGCGCCTTTACCCTGAGCTGGCCAGCTCCTCTCCCTATAAGGATACGGGTGGATTCTGGATGTAGATAGATAAATTTAACAGTTTCCAGCCGTGGTTGGTGTTCCCTGTTTGTTATGTGGTCATTAAATGTTTAAAATATTAGCTAGTAGGGTGTTTAGCTTCATAAAAAAAACCGCTGAATAGTCGCGTTTTGGCTGTGCTGCGTTCACTTGTTGCGTTCCACTGTGGTAGCGTTACTTAAAAAGTACTACGTCCTCTAAAGCGATATTTATAGGAAAGTACAAACGTGGATATCCTGTTTTGTTTGGACAAACTCATAAAGACATGGTCACAGCTGGTTTTCCAGGGTTAGGACTGACTGGCAGCCTCGGCAGAGCTGAGCAAACGGGTTATTGCTGAATCACCCTGACTTTACGAAACGGCGGTCTCATCGGTTTACAGCCGGAGTCCGCCGGCTGGTCGGACAACCGCTATTGCTGCAACCTCCACGTCCCACGCATGTCGGGAAATGCAGTTTATTGTCAGCAAACTTCAGGTCACTATCACAGGTCTTTTAGTTTAGCTCTTTAGTTAGCCCTACTCTACATGAGCTGTAGGCCCACATGTACCGTTAATGCTGATTTTACTGTGAAGTCAAGTTTTAGGAAAGCTGGATTTTGGTTTTGTAACTTAACTCAAGTGCCCCCAGAAACGAAACTGATGAAATGTGACTTTCTAGCTAAAATGACTTGCTTGTATACTTCCTAGTAGTCGTCAAATTGAAAATGAAAAACCCCCATTTACAGAAGTGTAATATCCTCATAACTGGGGGTCATAAATGTAACAAAAAACAGTATATCCAAAGCAAACAGAAATCCCCTTACCTTACCTTGAAGTGAGCTTAGATAATTCACACTAAATAAACTAAAATATCTCTAGAATTTAAAGACTCTTATCAACAGATTCCCTCGAACACTTTGTCACATAATTTTTTAAAGATGTTGTTAATAGATTTACAAGAGGACAGAGACTAAAAAGGTGCCAAGACACACAGATTATAATCAAGAAGTGGTGAAATTATGCTGCAGCGAGATCTTGTCTCGATCAGCCTGTTTCTCTGCCCACCAGTAAACCCGTCAAAAGGCAACCAGCAACATCACAGCAACGACTGGACTGTATTTTGTCACCCCATGTGCATGCAGTATCATGCAGCCGTGCTTGTTAACATGGTTTTTTAACACTTATGCGCCACAAAGGGACTAAATGAAAGCCCACTCACGCTAAAAAGAAAATCCAATGTTGCAGCAATATAAAAGTTCACACTTTCACTCTCCAAAAGCCATGTGGGAAAACCCCCTGTGGTTTTATGATGTCAAAGTAGAACTTGTTGGTCCTAATTAAATGCTAATGTCAGAAGATATTTTTGCTGCAGGCACAGCATGGCTTCTGTGGCAATTTCTCTCCTGTGTCAGGTTGGAGATGAAATTGATATATCTGAAATAGCCTTGAGTTGAAGTGCAGAGTCATTTATATCAACGTGGTAGTGATCTGAGGCACACAGCCAAATCAAAGAAGTGACTAAGGAGGAAAGAAAGCAGTTAAGTTGGCCCGGTTAGACGTTGGACTTAAATCCCACACAACAACCTTTGTGAGCTGACCTTAAGAGGAGTGTAGGAAGTCCCCACACAGTTTGTGTGAACTGTTCGATGAGAAGAATGGGAGAAAATTTCCAAATACAGTAGCGCTAAGGCGGTACAGACTTAAACAAACACTCTTACAGCTGTTATTACAGGTTGTTACTGGAAGCAGCAATTTAAGGGTGAGCAAACTTACTGTTTAGTCTCCTATTTTTAATATAATGATTCAGTTGGTTTTCATTTTAGGGTTTGAGGCAAAAAATAATGAGCATCATAAAAACACATAGTGACGTTGGGTTCCTTTTCACCTAAATGAGACAAATGAAACAATGAGAAATACATCCCACAATAGTTGCCTGTCTTTTCTCACAATGAACGTTCTGAACCGTTGGTTTTGTGTTGACAAGAGGAACTGTTGAAGGAATTGGTTAGGACACCTGCTTTGAGCAACCAAAGGGCAGACACATGATAACTTCCCCCTCACTCTTCCAGCTAACAGAGAAAGGCATGTCGCTTTCAAAACCTCCCCTTCCTCCTAACATCAAACCACAGAGTTTAATGAGAGAGCGCGTTTGGAGAAGCATGAAAGATCTGTGGGTTCTCCTTTTTTTTTTTGTTAATCGCCTGACTGGCTGTCTTGTGAGCGGATGGTAAATGTCAGGCCAGATCTGGACCAAAACAGCATGATGTCCACAGTCACATGTGATAACACACCTTTTTTTTTCCTTCCAGAGTGTCTGCATCTGTGTTGACTGTTGCTTTGGGGGAACAGCCGAAGACAGTTGGATCATGACATCAGAAAGAAACAGCAAAGCCCTGAAGGTAACACACAGCCTGAAATAAAATCTTATCTCAGAAGAACGAGTCATGTTTATAGCCTTTGACTATTTTTACAAGAGGGAAAACGTCAGCGTTGAAAAGATGTTTTACTGTCGTTCTAATTAGTCGATTTAACGTCATTGGTTTTTCCTCTCTTCTCTCAACATGTTTCCCCCTTCCGATTTCCTCCCCCCTTCCTTCCTTCCTCTTCAGGTGAAGCAGGAATGTGGCGAGAATGTGCCCTTCCTGTCAGACAGCGAGCTCATGTCTCTCACAGTACGAGAGCTGAACCTCCACCTGCGCGGCATGTCCCGTGACGAGATCCAAAAGTTAAAGCAGCGCCGTCGCACCTTGAAGAACCGAGGCTATGCTGCCAGCTGCCGAGTCAAACGAGTGTCCCAACGTGAAGCCCTGGAGCAGCAGAAAATGGAGCTCCAGAGAGAGGTGGAGAGGCTCGGGGCGGAGAACGCCGGCATGAGGAAAGAGCTGGAGGGGCTCGGCGCACGCCTCGCCGCACTCCAGAGGTTTGCCAGGGGCCTGGAGGCCGGAGGAGGTAACCTGCTGGCTACAGCCCCACGTCTCAACACCGCCTCAGTCATCACCATCGTCAAGAGTCCGCAACAGCCTCAGTCTCAGAGGGATCAGGAGCCGTCCTAGAAGGAGCTGTAGGAACCAGACTGGGGGGGAGGGGACGCTCAACCTGCAGTGCAAACACAGACACACATACACACACACCTGCAGGCATACACAGTCTATACACACATACATGCCGGAGAACAGGAAGACGATTTTAGTAGGAAAATACTAAGCACTTGTCTGCGTTGTGCCTCGTTCACATTTTAGAATTCTGTAGAATTCATGACACAGTGTTGACGGAGTGGCATGTGACGTCACCTAACAGACAACAGCTATGCTTAGTTTCCAAAGCAAGGGCCAGGAACAGTTGAAAAATCATCTAGGACCAGTGGAGGTGTCCTCCGCTTGACGCAGCCTCATGACACCGCAGCTTAGTCGACTGAAATTTACTTTTGTTTAGAGTTATATTCAGAACAGGTTTCATGTGAACGAGGCGTCGAGCACTGATGCACTCACAGTCACACACGCACACAAAACCCTCACACTGTCCCCAAACCCCACGGGGACGTAGACATTGACACATCAGACTCTGACTGAAGCCAGACCAACCCAACCAGAGTTACTGTGCATGTTCACTGCTCAACGAATCCAGCTCTGACTCTGGTGCAAAGCCGGGCCTTCTCTCCGCTGCCGGTCATGGCACCTGACCAACAGCTAAAAGACCAGGGTGGAGCGGACGCGTGTGCAGCTTCCTCCAGCTCTACAGCGCCTGCATTCCTGGTGTAGCTGTAGCCTGAAGTTCCTCAGAAAAGACAGTGTCCCAAAGTATGACTCATTCACTTTTGTTAGTCATTAATGCAGGGTTTCTCAACCTCGGTGTCACTTGATATGCAGGCGAGGTCATGGGAGAAGACTAATATAACTGCTAGGGTCACGAGGATTTTGGGAGCAAATATTGGCCACACAGTCCAGGAGAAGGTTGAGAAACGCTGCGTGCAAGCTGTTTATTCTGTGACAATTCTTTGTTGTGGGATTCACCTGCCACTACTTCCTACCTGATCTACCCCTCCACATGAGGGGAGAGTAGTTTTGTACTGCTTGTGTACACATTTCTCACATTAATGCAGTGCCTTCAGTGTATGTAGGAGTTAGAAGAATGCAAACCTAAGAGGGGAAAGGGTAAAAACAGACTGTAATCGCTCATTGTCAACTGTTCATGACCGCACATTTTTTTTGCTGTAGGATTTCTGAGCTATAATCCCTCATTGCTCATTTTCACAGTCCCTACTGTGCAGTAACTTTGCTACAAGTCTGCTGTGGCTTCCTTTTTTTCATATCTGAGACTCCCCAACAACAGATGTTGGTCATTTTTGCTACAAACGTGTAAAAGCGGAGTCGCATCTGGTAGGAATTACGCTCAAGTCGATGCAAATCCTCTGCACACATTCCCGTTTTTTTGTGTTCCTTATTTGTAATGTTTGTATGTGCCGTTGAGAGACGAAAATGTTGAGTGACATTTATCAGAGATATATTCTATATTTTATTTGTATTTAAAGGTAGATATGAAAAAGACAAGCTAACGAGTGCTGTGATGTTTTACGTGTTTTCAGAAGTACTTATGACTAGTCTGGGGATATGTCTAATTATTGTGTTGTGTGGCAACAATGATTACTTTACAAAATGTTAATTATTAGCTATGTAGAAATATGCTCAAAGCCAATGGCCATATTGCTGTATGATGATTTTTGTTTGTGTGTTATTTGCCATGTTTGTACTGGCTTGTCACAGTGGATTCTTGGAGGGACATTATTTTTCTACGATGATTCGTACGTTATTTGTGTGAAACCATTAAGGTCACTTCTAAATTGGCTGGACGGGCAGATCCACGGGATGCAGAGAGAAAGATGGAGATGAGGAGGAGACAAGAAGGCAGAGGAATAGTTGGATGATGGAGACAGAAAGTAGGCAAGGTGGACTGGGAACTGGGACAGGAAGGTAGAAAGAGGTGGTGCTTTATTCACTTGAAAACCTCCATCAGTCCCCGGGCTGTTTCAGCCAGCGTGTGCTCAAACAGGCTCGGGGTGTCGTGGGGTCTAGGCCACTGAATAGTGCTAGCAATATCATGTATAAGCAGGCATTGTAACACATTAGGCTGTGTTGACAAATAACTCCTTCAGATAATGAGGCATATTATTATATTTAGCTATATGAATATCAGTGTGGCAAAGCATTTATTCTCAATATTTTAACGTCTCACATTCTGTCAAACTGTGCTGGATGTTTTGTAATAACTTGCAAAACAAAAATGTTTTTTTGTATTTATTACCTGTATTTTTTCTATTGTGAAAATATAAGTACATTGTCTATTTTATATATTAATTATAATAAATGTTGTACATATTGTACATAAAATGGTGTGTTTGTGGTCGTGGGCTGGGTCGGAGCAGAGGATGCACACACACACACACACACACACACAGTGACTGTCACTACAGAGAGAAAGGGGATCTACAGGATGTGTTGCACAAGTTATCTCGCTCTGGATCAGAAGATAAACTCGAGGTTTACGTAGAAAAATGGTTTTTGAATAACTGAAATGTAGAGAAACTGCAAGTGCTTAAATGTTACATTTTCTCAATGCAATAAACATTATTTTCATTTTGTGCATCAGATTTGGCGCCCCCCAAGTGTTGACCTCATGGCTACAGCCTTGCAGTACATGGATTTCATACACGAGTAACATTAATATTGACAGTAGTAGTTCATCAGCATACTAATGATGACATTAATGGCTGTTTTTCACAGTGGCAGGTGATTAAAAAAAGGGAAAGTCTGTTAGATTTTACACCATTTGGAATCCCTATTGTTGCATGAAGCAGTGGGATTATGGGAAATGTATTCATTTTGAGATTTAAAGGTAGAGTGTGTGTCTCTGGAGACAGATTGTTATTTGAACTCCACAGCCAAACAAATATGTCATGTGCCAGATTTGTCATCTGTCTCACTCCCACTGTCTTACTCTTTTAACATCCACGGCCTTTACCCTGTTCAGTGCTTGAGCAAGAACTCAGTTGGAGACAGTTCCTTTGTTTCCTAGATACATTATCGATTAATCAGCAGATTATTTCATGATTAATCAATTAATTGTTTAGTCTATAAAATGTCAAAATTGGGGAAAATGCTCATCATAGTTTCCCAGAGCTCAAAGCCTGTTTTGCCCAGCCATCAGTCTGAAACCCAACGACCATCACTAATGACAATAAAAAGCAGCAAAGACTCATATTTAAGACACTGGAAACAGCAAATGTTTAACATGTTTGCTTGAAAAATGACTGGAATGGTTAATCTATGATCAAAATAGTTGGCAATTTATTTTATTTTGATCAACTTGTCAACTTATCGCACACGGAATTGGCTGCTAACGCATTGAGGGGATATTTGACAAAAAATAAAATTGCTGACTGCACCTTTAATATGTCCACAGAGGTTAATCATCCTGTTTAACATTTTGATTCTTAAATTGATAGACTTCCCTCTCATTAAATGGAATTTCCTGCAGAAAAGGGTTACTGGACAGCAACCACAGACCATGTGAAGATACATTAAAGTCCCCCTCTGCTTAAAAATGTGTTTTGTTTTTTGTTACTCCGCCTGAATGCTTGGCCTTTACTGTACAGAATGATGTATGTGCAGTTTGTTTTCACATCCATCTGCTGAAGGGCTAGTGTTTCTCTCACTTTCTCTAATCTTAAATCTGAGTTCAAGACAAGCACATACAAGAGGATTTTGTGACATCACAGATCATCTTGCTAGTTTGCAGCTAATCATGGTCCAATTTCAGACAAAAATTATTAAAAGTGAAAAGAGCGGGGTTTTTATCTTTAAATGTGTCTGAAGTGGATCTTTGCCCAGTTTACCTGCTTTGTTTTTCTGTAATATATATCACAAAAAAGTCAAAACAAACAAGAAGTTAATTACATAGCAGACTAAATATGTTTTATTATCCCCTCAGATATTCCTCCATTTTGACATAAAATATCAGCATCATGAGCAGCTTCATCATATACAAAGAACTAGAAACCAAAACAGTCATTGAAATAAAAAAAGACAGTTATGAAATAAAAATACAAAACTAGGTCTTTTTTTTCCCAAATGTGCTCCGTATTAACAGCATATATGACTACACCAACATACACCACGACAACTCCTCCCACAGACAGCACTTAAAAGTGTATTTACAACATCAGTCTGCGGCGTTTCCTCAGCTCGACTCACACACATCGGGACACGTCACACGTCAGCAGATAATAAAGACATACAGAAAGAGGGTGAAGCTTGAAAGTGAATTATGGCATTCAAAGTGCAGTACGCCTGACATCCATCCTGATAAGACTTTTTTTTTTCAGTTTGAAGCATGAAGCAAACCAACTGATGCACAAAAACTTTCTTCAACTAAAAAATATCAGCACTGTCATTCAGTGTTTGAGCATGTTAACTGCCGCACAATGAACTGACCAGTGCTTTTACACAAGTAATGCAGGGTCACTTTTGCTGCTCCAAGCTCAGTCATGGAAATCCAGAAACCCAATTACCCAGACAACACTCAGCAATGTCTAAAAATAGGACACTGCTCCTGTGCACAGACGTGGCTTCTGTCCTATTTAAAACCAATATTATGCCAGGCAGAAGCAGAAATACAAAAAAAAAACCATGACCGGCCTGAGGCTGACTTCATTCCTCTGACGAAACCCACAGAGTGATGAGGAGATAAAAAAAACTGGTGCTCCAACAAAGCAGTTACATGTGCGCCAAGCCTAAAGTGTGATAAGTGCCTGTCTGCTTGTAGATAAGGAGTGTGAATGTGTTCACGTCTCCTCCACACGGCCCCCTGGTGTTCATACGCAGCCACGGCAGAGCAGTGACAGCAGTTACAGTGAACACGTCGGCAGATTCGGCATGACTCATTCGGATGACTCAAGAACTTCAATTATGTGGAGAAAAAAAAAAGCTCTGGCTGTGGTGAAGTTAAATCTGACAAAAAATGACTGGAAGAACAGAAGAGCATCAAAAGTTACACATCAAATGTTATTGAAAGAATATTGACTGATCATATTGTAAATGCATAGCTTTGAAATGTGGTACAGTGAATATATATTCCAATATTACTGTAATAATATTCTTTTTTCAGCTTTCAAATATACCGTACCTCATTATAATAGCTGTATAATGTGCAAAATAGTAGTTAAGCTAAAGGCTTAGGTCCGTACAAGCAGGAACACTCACAACAATGGAGCCTGACTGCTGACAGAGATGTCACTACAGTGAGTGTGTTAGAGCAAGAGCAGAAAACTGACTTTATGTGGATGGATTTTAGTCTTTCTTATGTATCTGGAGCCATTTAGGAACATCAGGGTGATAGACGGATGGACTACTCAGACAAATTTAAAGGTATACTCTGCAGGATTGTCAGCAGATGCCTGCTGCGTACGGTCTAGAACATGGTCACTACCGTTTTATAAAGTCCTGAGCACTAAAGGGTATACACCCATAAATGTCCCGCACATACAAGATAAGAAGAAAATAAGAAAATGTAGGCAGAGGGCAGAGTCTCTGCAGATAAATACACCGCCCAGTGGGTCATAAGTGATGGTTGATAGGGTTTACATCTGTATGAGTCTATACTTTTTAGGAATATCCTACTTAGTATACCTTTAAAGTTGACCATGAGAAAATTAAGCACAATAAATCTTTAACATTAGGATTCATGTATGTATACTCCTCTGCTGTGAACAAGCGTCTAAAGTTTAACCTATATTCTGCTCTTGTTTTTCCCTCAGTCCAGTTAACCTACATTGTGGCCTGCGGAGGTCTACTCCCTGAGTGAATTAGCTCCAGCTTTAATCCAGCCCATTCAAATAACGCCCCAATTACACCAGTGTAATCCTGACCAGCTCTATTGCTGCTGCCCTTCGCTCCCCATAACAGATGCACTGCATAATCTATCATCTACCCTCATCTGCTCCGCTAATATCAATAATATATTGATCCGTACAACTGACATTAACTAATGGTCTTCACTCGGTTTCCCTTGAAATCCAAAACAGCGAAGGATGTCCCTTAAAAATCCCACAATGCACCAGGGTCGTCCCAGTTCACTCACAGTTCATCTACACGTTTTCCATAAACGTCGCACCACATTTTTATGACTGTACCACAAGACTGCTACGATACTGAAAACAGCTTCTGTAATGTATTTGCAGATGAACTAATTTATTAAATTGTTGCAAATAATATCAAAATATAAGATTACAAAATTAAAAGTTCAAAACTTTTATAAAATATTTTCTACCTCCAGTCATGGAAATTCAACTTCTTAAGGGTTTTCTTGGCTTAATAAACACAGCCAGTGACTATGTGAAAACAACAGGGCCTTCAAAATGTAAACCAATCTGGGCCCAGAACAAAATAAAAAAAAAACATCCATTAGAATGATTACAATGCCACATGACTGAGCTGAAATTAAGTTTCTGCCCAAGCCAGAAAACTTTTGTTCCAAAAGTCAAGTATGATTCAGTATGTAAGAGTGTGACTCACAAACTTTCCAAGCACCAACACAACCCTTTTCCTTTTCTGGCCAACGGTTTTAATGCCAAATTAGCTTTAGGAGTTCCCACTGAGTAGGATTCTTGGGAGCAGAAATGTTTATGCAGGAAGATCCTCGTATTTGTGATCAGTCTCAAAAACAGGAAAATCAAACCTCTCTAATCATTCACACATTAAAGAGGGCCGGCTGCACAAGAGGTCTAGGTTCCATCTGCCATTTAAACAGTCTGAATCTGATTCAGCTGTAAAAGTGACACGTCCTGCTCTAGAATTCGTCATCAGAGCTGAGCAGGAGCGTCTTCTCTGTGTCGCCGCGGCCGCTGACGGCGCTGTGGGTGCGGGAGACAGGTGGTGGTGCCCCTTGCTCCAGCGTGGACTGCTGGGTGTACTGCTGGTAGGCTGGGGAGAAGTTGTGGATGGCATCCTGGACCATATCACCCGGGTTCATGGTCTCCTTCAGGCTGCTGGAGATGCTCTTCATCGGGGCACGGCGGCCTGCAGGAGGCGGACGAGACGAGAGAGTTAGAGGTCGGGGGAAGAGGGGAAAAAGAAAGAGAGGAAATGGGATTTAAAGGAAGAGGAAAAGGGTAGTAAAGGACAGTGGGGGAGGAAATAAAAGGTGTGAAGAGGCAGAGGAGTGATTTAGACCGGAGAAAAGGAGAGGAAGGAAAAATAAAAAGTGAGGAAGCATTAAAGGAGGGTGACTTTATGGTGATTTAGGCAAGGAAGTGGGAGCACATTAAATGGAGAGGGAGGGAAAGGAGAGGAGAGAATAGAGTCAGAGGAGAGAGGGAAGAGGAGTGATTTAGAAGGTGTTAAACAGCGACACAAAAGGAAGGAATGGGTGAAAAGGAAATTAGGGAAAAAGGGAGGAATTGTAAAGGGACAGTGGATGTGATTTAAAGCGAGAGAACGGAAAGGGAAAAATGGTTAACTTCACAGTGATGTAGAGCGATGCACGGCAGGGAGGAGCAGTATAAAAAGGGAACGTAAAAGAGGATGGGAATGATTTAGGAATAACAGCAACATGTAAACACAACCAAAATACATTCAAAACCTTGGATAAAAAAAAACAAGACAGAAACTAACTTAAAACATCTCGGAAAGACGAATGAAAAAATAAAAAGGGGGTGGGGCGGGGTTGTGGAGTAAACACCGTCAGTGTTTAACCTACCAAACTCTCCATATGTAGGAACGGGTCCTTCATGGCGCAGCAGAGAAGAAGAGAGACAAATAAAGATGGATGTGTAGAAAAAGGTAGGGAGACCCAAACAAAAACATGAGTGATAAACGGAAGAAAAAAGGTGGATAATAATGAGAAAGAAAAGAATAAAGAATGGTAGGAGAATTTTGGTTGAAAGAAGGGAGATGAAGGAGATTGAAACGGCGATGGTAACGACAGAAATAAAAAGGAGACAAAAGGCTACTTTAGAATATTTGGCATTTTTCCTTTTGTAAGACATGCAGTGAACTAAATGTCCTCGTTTCTTCCCTCTTCCCTTCCTCACCTTGTGAATCAAGACTCTTGTCCATGTAGACTCTGTATGTGAAAGCGTGGCGCAGAGCCAGCGCCGCGAAAAACATCTCTATGCAAATGATAAAGTTCTGATAGCCGGCGGCGACCGTCCCCTCGCCGACAGACACCTCCTCTGAGTTAATCTGGGGTATGGCCCCGCACTTCTCCAGGATGGCTAGCAACATGCCTGACCACAAATGATAAGACGATACATGATAAAGATAAAGAAATCTCACATGATATATGAATAAAAGTATCTTGTGTCTTGTGCAGTTTAACCCTACCCTGCCAGAAGGAGAGGAAGATGACGGACTTGACCATGAGGAACTTGAGCATGGGGCTGTAATGGCTGAGCAGCTCCCTGGTGGAGAAGTAGAAGAGGAAGAGGGCGTACAGGGACAAGCTGACGGAGATGTTGTAGATGATGGTCACGTACAGGTAACCGCTGGCAACACTGTTGAGAGAGAAGACAACAGGGAGACAGACGTTAGTTCTGCTGGTGTTGATTTATAGGTTGCTGCTGTTGCAGGTCAAGCTAAAAGCCAAAATCTCCCATTAGAGATTAATACCCCAAACTGAGACGATTAAGGGAGGAGGCGATGATCAGTCTGGGACATTCAATTAATCTAAAAATTAAAGGAGTAATCCACAAGTTCCTGTTTGTTTTTCCTAAATATGGCAGCATCTTTGTAAAAAGTTTTTCTGCACTTCTGCTCCACCAATCAGAGGCAACCCAAAAGTCAATTATAGACCTCCTGTTTGCAGCACTCACTTGAAGTCTCCGTCCTTGTATTTGCCGTAGGCCTGCAGGATGACCGTGATGATGGCCATCAGTGGTTTGACCACGCAGAACTGCAGAGTGGCCTGCTTACAGAACCGCAGGAAGCCTATGGAGTAGGCCTTCCCCCTCAGACAGCAGGTGCCATACATACAGCTGGACCTGATGACGCAGCAAAATACCCAGGTTACACTTAATGCTGTTTCTTATACTTGTGAGGAATAAAGTTTTTCAAGCAGCAAAACTGACACAATATAGAAGGAATGATGAAAATATGGACAGTAATTATATATGCACTTGTTTTATGTTGTGTTGGAAACAAATATCACTTAATGGCCTTTTAGATATCTATCTAATTCCAACTGGGAATCTGAGACTCACTCGATGGGTTTCCCTCTGATCTCCGCCATGATGGCGCTCTCTCCTCCCAGGTACTCATAGCACAGGCTCAGGAAGTTGTAAATTACAAATGCTGGGGAGAAACAAGAAGAGAAAGGGTTAGTTGTTATTATCTTTATGCAGATATTATTTAGTTAATTTGCTTTTTTCTTTAACAACAGATTCTGCATACTTTTCCTACTGTGACATCTCAAAATGTCTTTCCCCATGACTAAATAAAGCCTGTTTGTTGTATTGCTTGTATTGTATTGGTAATTTCCAAATTGTCATGTGAATTAGTATTGCAACAAACATTTTGACTTTATGTAGCCCAGGTGAAAACAGATTCAACGGCATGTGGAAAGTTTGCAAAACGGCAACTTTCAGTGGTAACTGTGAGAAAACAGTTTAAACTGTAATACCACAGACCAAAAAGTACAGCAGAGTGAATCATTCAGTCGCCCACAGACCCCCCAGCAGTCACACAAACACGACACATGTCACTTCCTGTCACACTTGTTTTGACATCTGCAGGCAAATATATTACAGTCAGAATCATGTGTTATTTATAGTGTTGTTCTAACAGAATGTGCTGATTCACTGTCAATCAAAACCAGCAGCAGACATAAAATTAACTCTTCAGCTCTTTCAGTAAAACAGTAAGGCATGGCATCATGTCATTTCTTAAAAATTATTTCATTTAATGAGGCCATCGATATGTGGTCTCTGGGCCTGGTGGCTGCAGATCAGGCTACAGGGTACCCAGTCCATCCCGGGAGATGGACTGCAAAATGCCGAGCTTCATCACAGACACTCAGGGCCAGCCAGCAGAGTATGTGCTGGACCGTGGAAACAGAACAGGCTATTATTTCCACAGATAGCAGCGCTGGAGATTTAAGACTCCAGAGCAGTGTGCTTATGAGACAAGTGTCTCAGTGACCTTGGGCAGGTGATGAAGACAAACTCTGGACACCAGAGAGACCAGCATCTCTTTGTAGATCTAGTCGAGAAGATGCCGCAGCTGATTCAGGACAGGTTCTGCAGCATCCACTCTTTCCTTGCGGCCTGCACAGTGACAACGGACACTGAGGAGGCTGAGGCAGACATCAGCTGGCAGCCTGCCTCATATCACACTGCAGGACCAGGGAGCATTTACAGCAACTACAAGACACTTCCTTTATTGCAGAAGCTTAAGTTAAACAAAATGCAGAAGACCCAAAAGAGGTTCCGACGATCATGTTGTAGCTTTCACCCATCCACTCCCTACACTATTGACATTACAGACTCCACCTACATTTGTATTTAAATTATTTCCTTCTAAAATGTTGTACATTAATTTGTTTTCTATGAATCTGTTGTGAACTTACTTCAGTATTCAATATGTTAATTCAGTTACGTGTAAAGACATTAGAGTGGATGTACAAAAAGGGGAAGTGGGGGCCCACTAAGGCTGCATATTTATTTGTGGTACACCACTGGCAAAGAGCAATGCACAAAACATGTTCATAGGAATTCAGCTAGAAAGCAAACATAACCTATGAAAAGTTGAGTTTTAGATTTTAAACATTAAAGCAGTACTGTATAGGATTTAGTGGCAACCAGCTCAAACTTCTCCCTGATGTCAAGCATGAACTCCAACTTAGATTAAATAAAATGCTGTTGAATACATATCAAAATAAAGAAAATAAAGCACAGATGCCTGAGTAGAAACTTGTGTTTCCTCCTTCTGAGGACCCTTCACTGCCTTACACAAGCTTAAGCCTAACTAACAATAAATCTTGCCGTCCAGATAAACACTTGACACTAAATTATGGGAGGAATTTCTGACTTCAAGCTGCAGAAACATCTTTACTTTCTGCGCAAGAAGCTAAAACTGATCTCACAAGGATAGAAGATAAAAACATACACACACATCTCTCCCAGTGTGACTGATCTCCACCTGACTGTCTCTTGTGACCAGTGGATTATCTCTCCTCTGTGCTGCTTCAGTGAGAGGGTGATGACGACCAAAGGGCTCATAAAAACACAGCCGGGCTAATCCTGTTAACACACACTCTCTCAGGGGGGATGTGGTTGTGTGACTGTGACTGTGTGGTAAATAAGGTGAGCTTTAGAGGTGTATATCAGTTAACTGTGAAAGTGTGAAAAATGATATATTCTGGGTGTGTGCCATAGTGTGCGTGTGTGTGGGTGGGAGGTTCAGGAGGATGTTTATGTGTGTCACAACACTGATCTCAAAGCAGCTGTACTGCTGGCAGGGATTCTTGTTACGTCAGCTGTCTGCTGCTGTTATTATATTCTCCTTTTTCTCACTGACTTTAGCTCTACTCCACCCACACACACACTTGAACTTCGTCACTGCCTGCTGTGGTTGCCTGTCTGACATCAGATGCCTGTCAAACAATACTCAGGTGAGAAGATGCCATAGATGCCACTCCACCACCTGGCTTAAAACACAATAGCGAGCATACTGGTCGATCTGCGTAGCTCTCTGTGTCTCAGCGGTTTACCATTATGCTCTTCCACTTCTCTCCAAGGACCCCTGTCAGCAGTGCTAGTTGCCATGGTGATACAGTAGGCCTACATACAATGAGAACTTTGCAGCAAGTTTGGTAGAGTGAATCTCATTATCTGATGCAGCCATTCTGGTTGATGAGGAAGATTTGCAAGCGCGGTTGCCATGCAACAGGTCGGTCATCCTTGCTCAGGAAAAGATCTAGGCAGGGCTCGGCAGCATTGTGGAGGGGGGAAGGCAAACAGGAGGGAGCAAGGAGGCAGAGGAGAGGGAGCGGACAATATGAAGAGGAGGAGAAAGTGGAAATGTACTGAAAAAGATTTGGGTGAGAGTGAGGCGGAGGTGTGGGAAAAAAAAACTGTGAAGTGAGAGAAGATAACGTCAAGAGAGGAGGAGGATAAAACAAGGAGGAGGATGAGAGCCATCTGTCTGAGGGAGCGATGTGACGACCACAACACTGACACCGCTTCCTGCCAAAAGCAGAAGCCATACATAGACTCCACTCCACATTCGAATGTGTGTGACATCATCGATACGCCGACACAGGAAGTGACGCTAGTGACAAAGTGTGTCACAGTGTGTGGACTATTTCTATCCTGAGCGTCACAAGTGACTCTGAGGAATGTGGAGCGAAGGCAGGCAGCTGCCTTTTTGTCGCTTCAAAAATGTAAGAGGCGTCAGAGATGCAAAGCGTCAGGCAGCATTTGTTTTGTTTGTGTCATCCATCCACTCACCAAAGCTGACAGCTCAACATTAACTCTTTTGACCTGACAAAAATAAACACAGTCCATACTCCGCAGTGAGCAGTAAGCCATTGATCCATGTTTACATCCATTCCACTAGATTCCAGTCACACTTACTCAACTTAAAATGATTAAAAAGGCCTCGGCTGATATAAATTTCACAATAGATGCTCCTGTCTAAATAGATATGGACACTTTAGACACTAGATTCAAAATTTAGTAAACAGATAAATGCTGTTGGATAAGTCTGACAACATACAGATTAAAAATCAAGCTTTTTTTGCTGTATCAATTTAGAGAACTGCCAAAATTAATGTCCGCCATTTGTACTTTGAAACAGCAACATTTCTACATACTTGAAACGTTGCTAACACTGGTAAGTTCAGCTAGGTTCCTTATGTTGTCTTAATGTTTATCTTACTAGCTATTATTTCATTAAAATATTTACCATGTACCTGTACTCAAAGACAGTTGATGTAGAGGAGAGACAGGCTCAGTATACCACAGAGAAGGCAGAAATCTAATGAGGGTGAACGGGGACTTTGCTAAACAAACATTGACCAAGTAGGTGGAATAATTTGTTGAGGCTGGACAGACTGTTCTGATCTGATCATAATGTGTTTCTACAACTCAACTGGAAAAGGTGCCCACAGTGAGGTGGAAGGGATTTTAATCGGTAACTTCTATCCATCTATTGTTTCAAAACAAATGCCATTAAATGCGTTTTCATTTAAGATAACTTAGCGTGTCACATTTTAACCTAGTTGGACCCTGGGTGGGAATACCATACCTAATGTGGAGTGGCTTTGGCTAGTTTTTGGTGTGACCATAATGACTCCCAAAACAGCATTCCAACAAGCATGCTGTACCCTAGATCTGTTCCTGTGTCCTGTACTGTCAAAGCAGCTCATCGATTTTGTGCCACTGCCCTCTGCTGAACCGGTGACATGAAGAAAACTGCATCGTCACTTCAAGTGACAGACTGAGCTCCACAGGATGAAGACAAAAGCATGTCCTTACCCTCATAGCAGTCCCTGACGGTGTCAAAGTACACGTAGTACTGGTCGTTGGTGAAGAAAAGGAGGCTGAGCCAAGAGTCGAAGGCGTAGATAGGAACGATGAAGAGGATCCGTACAATGTGGCGCTGCTCCCTTGGCGAGCTGTAGAAACGTAGGTGCATGTAGATCTGGGGCAGACAGAGGAGACTCTTTAAGTATTGAAAATGAGACTTTAGGCAGAACAGACTTTACACATTAAGTTGAAAACTATAAATTGTGCAAAATGTAAGTTTAAAACATCAGCACTATGTCAGAATGAATAAAAGGTTGAAAAGTTACAGAGCTTTAAAAAAGAGCTTTAAAAAAGTACTTGAAACTAAAAACTTTTTTTTAAATCAGATTTTTATCCTGTGTATCATTAATGTCTCTGTGCTGTCTTGTCAGTGTGTCAATGTCCCTGACCTTAACAATCAATACATTACCTCACCTCACTGACAACATCTCACAGGAATGTGTGAAAGAGAAAAACTCTGACTCTATTCAGCTTGGGTTTTTTTCATATCTGCTTTTTCATCCACCTGGATCAAGTTTCACCTTTGTGTGTGTGTGTGTGTGTGTGTGTGTGTGTTTGTGCACATTCATGCTCTGTATCACAAACACCTGCCAAGGGACGTTGCCAAGCAACTCCTGCCCTTCTCTGGGCCTGAGCAGATGTATGTGTGTTGCAGGATCACATCATTTGTGCATTAAACAACACAAACACATCTGCCTGCCAAATCTAGTTCACATCTTTGTGAGCACCTCCTTCAGAAAAGCCGGTCTGCTCTGTCAAATCTCAACATCTGTATCACCAGCTGAGTAAATAACTCGGTAAAGACCTGTTGATTTAACCCCCCCCCCCTCTCTCCTTCTGCTGTTTGGAAGCAGTTACCTGGTGACAGGTGAGGATGAGTGCGGTCCAGACGAAGAAGCCAGACACAGCCTGAGCAGCAGGGGTCATGAGGAAGATGGGCGGGTCTTGGCCCAGCAGTGGGGCTTCTGGGAGCCATGAAATGTTGGGGCCCGTCGGAGCTGCCGTTGGCGGGGGGACGGGTGCTGCGGCCAGAGGAGAGTCCTCCCCCAGCCTCTCCGAGAGCGGCACGTCTCGCCTCCACAGCTTCAACATCTGGAAGTGACACAGAACGCAGACAATGTGAGTGTGCGTGTGTGAAACAGTGATACAATTCATTGAGTATGAACATGCATTTCCTCCAGCAATCATCAACCTGGAATAAAGATCTGACACTATGTCATCATGTAATGAGTAATCAGAGATAGGACGACAGATAGAAGATAAACACAGATACACAGCAGTTCAACAGGTCACTATCAGTCAAGAATGCCTGTGTGTCATCGGTACAATGGTATCTGTGTAAGCTCCTACATCTCCCAGAATGCTGTTTGATCTCTGCCAAATAACATGTCTAAACATCTACTAGTCGCTGTGGTTTTAGGTGGAGCGTGGGAGCTTGATAGCACACTGTTTTTCAAGTTAACGGAAAGCAACGTGTCATTTAGCTGCAAGGCATTCTGGTATTTAGAGTCATTGCTCATGTTTCCTTGTATGATAACTAAACACTGGGACAGATTTTTTAGATCTATAGGAAAATGCTCATTGATTTGCAAGACTCACAACAAAACCTGGCATTTAAAGCCTGAGTTTTCAATCATTGAAAATTCCTGCAATAAACCTCATCTTTCAATGTCTGACTAGGAAGTCAAACAAGAATCAACAGCCCACAGCCTGACCAAATTTAGGTAGGGACGGACAAGAGACGTCACATATGCTGCCGCATCCACTTCCAGCTCCTGAAGATGACTGGACTTGAAGTGGCCGGAAGACATATTATATAACCAGCAGCTTGCAACCATCTCTATGGTGACACAGTCATGGTCTCTGGGTACGTTTGTTCTTGTACACTGACAGACAGCTGTCAGATGGGACTGAGCTCGGGGGAGATGGAGACCTTGGTGTTGTAGAGGTGGAGTGGGGGCTGATGCAAAGGCACCCACACATAATTTCAGACACAAATAGAGATAACAAATGACAAAAAAGTGGGCGTTAGTGCTAAAAATGGTCACCAAATGAGAAAGAGAGACAGAGAGCGGGTATCCTTCAAACTGACCTATCAAGTCTTGTCTGCCAGAGTAGCATGGCAACCATAAGTCACATTGCACACTAAAAAAACAGCACGGACAATGACAGGCTGACAGAGTGCTATTACACACACACACACACACACACACACACACACACACACACACACTTACATAAATCAAATTAAAATCAAGTGATTTAATTTAGTGGGTCAATAAAATGAATTAGGCTTTTATATATGAGACTTAGAGGAGTTACCGTTTCACTGTTTGTGTGCATGTGCGTGTGTTTGTGTGTGTGTGTAACCTGTGTGTGTGTGCATGTGTGAGACAGCAGGTCATTTGTATTGGTTTGCCAGGGATCAGCAGATCTACATGTCAACAAGGAGAAGTGAAGGCATCAGCAGCCACACACACACACACACACACACACATACACAATGCCAGTGACAGTGAAATGATGCTGTGCTGAAGCAAAGGGACATCTGTGTGTTTCATTTGAAAGGCAAAAAAGGTCAGTCTGTGGCGTCTCTCCCTCACACACACACACACACACACACACATACGAATAATATATCAGAGAGGCAGGGGGTCAGGAATAAAGCAAAGCAACAGATGGAAAGGGGTGATGGGGGTTGTGTTTATAATACATAATAAGTAATGATATGGGTGACAGCCAGACTGGATTATCATACTGGCTGAAGCAACAATAACAATAACACTGGGATTTATTCAGCACGAAACCTCTACGACATTTTAGCGCTTTTGTCTTTGCTTTAACATTACTTGCATAAGGGACTGTTCATTATTTACGGGGGGAGGGGTGGTGCAAAGAGGGGGAGGCATGTCAAATAATTTTTTAAGCACTTTGAAGGGACAGGTTTTTTATTGTGGCTTAGGGCAGGGGCATTATAATATAAATTGTTGTATTTTGTATTGATTTTACAACCAGTTTATTTAGGTTTTCTTCCAAACTTGCCAAAATTACACCATTTATCATAGCTAGAAACTGTAAAAACAGACATTATTGTTGGATTTTCAAATTTCTGATGGTCCTTGGGCACATTATGGGCCACAGACTTTTCCATCAGATAAAAAAACATAACCAAATCTCATCAAAATCACTTTATTCTATGTCTCGTTTGAGGTTTGGGCAAAAATAAACTGCTAACAAACCAGCATGCACGACAAGAGTGAAAAACCAAGCTTATTTCATTGCTAGAATTTCAACTTTAAGCCACTTTCAAGCATCAAAGGGTAAATTAAAAAAAATCTGATAACTATTTTGTGCAGGAGGGTGGTGCATATTTATGCTCATGGAAAATATTTTTAGCTTTGGGAGAGGTAAAAAAAACAAAGTCACACCCCAGTCATCCCCCTCCCCTAACAAGTAAAGAACAGTCCCTAACAGTGATTTTATTACACTCCTGTGAATGATTGCTGCGGGTATATTTGACTTAACAAATTTGAATAACATGGAAATGACGCTAATATGCAAACAAATTAACCACAGATAGCTAAACTCCACTTACCTTAGGTGATGGGCGCTACAAGAAGTCACAGCCTTGAATTTTAAACCTGCAATTGAGAAAGAGACACTTTATTAGCGGAGTTAAAATAGTGTTGCGTAAAGGTAAAGTACTCCTAACCTGTTTTAGACGCTGGGCTCACCTGGTAAATAGGCTGCTGCCGCTGCTGGAGCCAAACTCCCGACCAGAAATAACCCAGAAACGGCCTTAATTCCTGCTCAGAGCCGCACCGTTGCTCCCCGGACATCCATGTTTAACGTTAGCCCTCAGCGGACTGCCCCGTCAACCTCTGCGTCTCCCCCCAAAAACTCACCTCTAAAGTTTTTCTTTCATGTTAAACTACTTCTATAATATCATTTTCGTGGTCCTGTCTGTATGCTAATATCGTGTGAAGTCCGTGTTTCTGGAGTTATAACAGTAAACTCCGTCATTCCTCTCCGCTCCTCTTTCTTCACTCCGCTGACTTCAAACCAATCCCTGTCGGATTAACTGCAGATCAGATGAGCTCCGCCCATTCCGCGAGGACGAGCTCGTTCGACCAAACACACAACGACTACCATTAATAACCCGGAAGAGGGCGGGGTTTGCTCGTTGAGCACTGAGCATGCGCGGGTCTATTTTCGGTCTAGCAGCAGTGGATATGTGGGTGATGTACAAAATAAGGTGAACAGTGTTCCCTCTTCTCTTTGTGCATCCATCGCTCCCACACACTCAGTGATGAATTATTTGTTTACAACTTCCTGTCCTAACTGTGTAGTCACAGTGTGTGGGTGACAAATACCATAATAATAATTGGTACTTTAATTATGCTGTCCTTTTTAGGAACAGTAAGTAACGTTTTGTTCTAAAGTTTGTTTTAGCATTTCCTGTCTTGTCCAAGGACATTTATAATCTACTATTGGGAAAAATTTGATGGGGAACTCACAATAAACATGTTTTATGATAAAACTGAGACAGCAAGTGGTGATATCCTTTGGTGCTTAGTATGGGTCAAGCTCAAAACTAGAATTACTACTTTGTGTTTGTGTCATTCCACTTACCCGTTAAGTTGCACTTACAGTTTACATCCATATCTGTGAAAACATGGATGCTACACACACATCTTCATCCCCGCAGGCAGCACAGATCTATACAATCAGCACCATTTCAAGGTGGGCACCCAAGAATAGTGTGACTAATTCAGTATCTGACCAAATGCCCCCCCTTCTGTTGCTGTTAAGTTGTTGAATAATGGCTAGAAAAGTGTTCTTGCAGAACACTGCGATGTCACGGATAAGTTGACCTTTGACCTTTTGGTTCTAAAATGTCATCACTTTATCATTATATCCTACTAGACAGCGTATGAATTATTGAGCTATGGCCCAAATCATGATTTGCTACATCACAGTGACCCTGACCTTTGACCACCAAATTCTAATCAAGTGGATGTTTGTGTCAAATTTGAGGAAACTCCCTAAAGGCCTTCTTGAGGTATTGCGTTCATGAGCATGAAATGGTATCTCAAGAACACCTTGTGGGAATTTCTTCAAATTTGGCATAACTGTCCACCAAGACCTAATGATGAACTTGTCAGATTAAGATCAAGGTGACAGTGACCTTGAACTTTGACCACCAAATTCTAATCAAGTAGGTGTTTGTGCCAAATTTAAGGAAACTCCCTGAAGGCCTTCTCGAGGTATTGCGTTCATGAGCATTAGATGGTATCTCAAGAACGCCTTGTGGGAATTTCTTCAAATTTGGCACACAAGTCCACTTAGACTTAATGATGAACTGGTTAGATTAAGGTCAAAATTGCAGTGACCTTAAACTTTGACCACTACATTCTAATCAAGTAGGTGTTTGTGCCAAATTTGAAGAAACTCCCTGAAGGCCTTCACAAGGTATTGCGTTCATAACCATGAAATGGTTTCTCAAGAATGCCTTGTGGGAATTTCTTCAAATTTGTCACAAATGTCCACCTAGACTTAACGATGAACTGGTTAGATTTTGGAGGTCAAAGGTCAAGGTCATTGTGACTTTGTATTTGTCTCATTCCTGTGAATGCAATATCTCAAAAACACCTTGAGGGAAATTATTCACATTTGGCCCAAATGTCCACTTGGACCCAATACTGAACTAATGAAATTTTTGACCTCCAAAATCTAACCAGTTCATCGTTAAGTCTTAGTGGACAAATGTGTGACAAATCTGAAGAAATTCCCACAAGGCATTCTTGAGACACCATCTCATGCTTATGAACGCAATACTTTTTGATGGCCTTCAGGGAGTTTTTTCAAATTTGGCACAAACACCTACTTATTCTAAAATGTATATTATGTATATTATATGTTTCAGTATTAAATGATAAATATGAAAGGTCAAATATTTTGTGATTAATTGAAACATGCTATTGGAAAGAAGTTTGTAAGCTGTGTATATTTTTTATTGATTCAGAAAATATACACAAATATCATAGTAATAAAGTTGAAGCATGGTAAAGAAATGTACAGGACATCAGACAGCTCATTCCCATCTGTGACATCCGCTCATCCTGACAGGCCTGGGTCAAAAACACTCCTTGAAATATTAATATGAACCTTTCCGTCATTGCCTGCCACAGAGGTAACCCAAACACACACTTGTGGCAGACTCTAAAGGTTAGTGGCACAAACGTCTGTTTAACTTTTTACCCCAGGGCTGTCAGGATGTGAACATTACTCTTCTCTCCAGCCCCATCTTTTAACAATCTGTCACATTCTGGCAAAAGGTATCTACACATTTTACATGTATTATAAAACAAACAAAAAAAGCAAAATACTACACCAGACTTGTTCATCACCAAGATCTTACAACTTTCTCAAGTCTTTTCATACCTGGAGTTACAAGCTGGACTAAGGCTTTATCATATCATACAATCCTCATGGCTCTGTTCTGTTCTCAACTGTAAGCAGTCTTCCTCCTCCGTCTCTTTTTGCCTTCAATGAGCATGTTTTCCTTGTCAGTCTCGTAGGTAAGACGGTAACAAGTGTGCTGAATAGGGGGTTTTAACCGGGGACTAGTCTTCTGTTACGATCCATCAACAGTCACCTTTCCCTCCTCTATTCCTCAGGCTCTCTAAAGCAAATCTAAAGGCAAAACGAACACTTAAGACAGTAACACACAGACAGACACTGACACTTATTGACAAAAAGCAGCCTCGCTCCCATCCACAAATTCACCGCAAACTCACTCACATTCACTCCCCACTTCTGATCCCTTCTGTGATCCATTTCCAAGCAGTCTCCTGTCTCATCTGTTATTGGCCTGAATACAATTTTGTGTTCATCTCCATAGTTGTTTACATATTTATTTATAATCAAGAACATCACAAGCAGCAGATGTAGCTCTTAAACATTAGCAGGTTGATAGCAGATTTTTCAAAATTTTTATCACAGGTGTAAACCACAGAATAACTGAAATTTAGTCCATTTTGTGCACTTTGATGTTTTTGGTTTTTTTTGCAAGTTGAGCCTCTGAGTCGATGGACAGGTGAATATGAGTGAAGAAGGGGCGGGACCTGTGTGTTGTTTTACCCACTTCCCCCTCCTGGGCCACATCCTGAAATGCAGTACCAACCAGTTCCAGCCAAGAGTTTGTTTGTTTGTCCCACAGGTTTCCATCACCTCAGTGTTCCCTCGGCTCTTCCAGGTCACCACTGTTCACACAGCATACTGACACACACACGGATGGCCTCGATCCCCCCTTTAAGGGCCTGCAGTGCCTCCATCCTGCTCCTCTTGTCCTCCTCCACTCATTCAAGTTTCCATTCATCCATTCGAAAAGTAAGGGGTATTTGATACCCTGCAGCTGCTGCACCACAAGAAACAAAACAAAGGAAGAGAAATTACACTTTTGGGGTTACTGAAAGGATAAAACTGGGATTATTTCACATATTTTGTGTCAATAAATCTCATACTAATGATCAAAACCAACAATGCATGAGTCTGTCTCAGTACTTTCTGTTATCCCTCCCCTGTCTGCAGCACTCTGCCCAATGTCGAAAGCAGCATGAAGGCCAGTGAAGACATCACGGTAGTTACTTCTCTTTTATATCTATTACTTATCGGTCTTTCTTTCAAACTCAGTGCTGACTAAATTTTAAACAATGTTTGGGCACGGCTTGGATGAAGGAGGATAGTACTTTGGGGCAGTCCATCGTTGCATCACGCAGGCAAAGGGGCTAAGATTGGCGTGTCCACACAGGTGGATTGAAGCTGATCAGAGCTGGAGCCGATAAATACCCGTTACAACTGCAGAGTCATTCGTCCCAGGGATGAATGCCGATTGTAAACCTTCCCACTTAATACAAAAGCCAGATGTTAGTGGGTATTTGTGGATTTTTTGTCCAGCAGGAAAGGGGCTATACAGCAGTTACCACCCTTTGGTTCCCCCCCCCACAGATACTGTTTAGTATTGTCAGCGCCGTTGCAGTTGTTAGCACTGTTCGTGCTGTTAGCAATGTTAGCTGCTAGCCGCTGGCTCAACCACCTCCATGTTGAGAGCCATGTGCAGGTAATCACAGCCCAGACTCTAAATAATAGATATGCTCTGAATGTCGTATATATTTGGTTCTTGATCCGATCACTGGACTGGACCAAGAACCACTAAGTAGCATCTACAACAGACAGACTAAAATGAAAAGAACTACAAATAGCCTTGGATACCACACACACACGCACTGCACAACCACTACAGTCACCTACCCTCAGGCTGCAGATACAGGTCACTCCCATTCCAGACCACACAGGCTATGTCAAGCTTTGTGCCTATGTGTATATGTGTCTACTTCTATCATATTCGTTATTGCTTGAGCTAGCCTGGGTGCTTGACCCTATTCATTACATAATTAAGGACATTTTTAACCCTTTTTAAGGTGGATATTTTAAACTATTCTAAACTGCACTGTATGTTGTATGTAAATTATGTTTGTCGTTTGTCCGGTTATGTGTTGTGTACACACTCAAGTTTTTATACAGCTCTTTAAATCTTTAAAGCCACAGTGTGTAGGAATTTCTCCCATCTAACGTTGAAATCATATATTACATTCAAACAGATGGCGCACTCTAGCGCCTCACTGTTTAAAACACGTATTGCAACAACTGTAGCCGCTGTGTACCAAAAAGCTATGATAACACTGATGAAACCATGTTATCCTATACTACATGGAGTATTCATTCAGGCTCCTACACAGACACACGCGACGCGAGCTGACAAACCCCCACCTCACCATGCTGGCTGTGTTTACAACGTAGGACTGTTGGGGCGGGTGTAAATTGAAACAAACCAATCACGTCTTGTCCTTTGACAACTGACAAGCGGCTCAACCTCACACACCTCATCCCTCTCCTCGCATTACTGTGCCGCTAACAGCTGTTAGTGGCCAGCAGCACTACCGCCGCATAACAAAGTCCCACTCTTTGAGCATTATTCAGGATCATGTATTATGCAGCATCACGGGAGACGGAATCCTCGTCGCCAAGAAAGTGCAAAAGGGAATCAAAAAGGCAGCGTGACCGGCGAATTAAAAAAACAAGGGTCAGCATTGGGGTAGCCTTTCCCAGGTGGAAAGAGCTGCTGAAGGAGGAAGGTAATACAATCACAGGCCAGCGCTAACAGCGGCTAACAGCAGCTAACAGCGGCGCAGTGATGCAGTGCTGGCCTGGCTCTCAACGAAAACGCCGAAGGCGGTGCTGTATGTCCCTTGCTGGCGGGTGTATTCTCAAGATGGCGAAACATAATGGAACCCAGACGACTTACCCGCACAATGTACAAACAAATCCGAAATTCTCCTTTTACGAGAATAAGTCAGATTATTGGTGGAGGTAATAGTACACCAGTGATGACATATTTATGAATGCAGACATCAATTTTTGCCAATAAACAACTGAAAATGTTACACAATGTCCCTTTAAAAAACAGGTCACAAATATACACATCCATCTTTAAAATGACTGAAACATCTGGCAGCTTTTTAGCAAGCATTACTCAAAAAGAAGTAAACAGTGCATTTGTCTGGGACTATTTTCATCAGCACATTAGATGCCCTAGTAAGTATTTACAGCAGCAGGACTGTGTATATATCCACTCAAAATAAACTACAGTTCACAGTGATGACGGAGCATGTCATCCAGTGCAACAGCATGGCTCACTGGTATTTTTTAATAGTTTTTGGACAACATTTGAGCTCAATAGCACAGAGGAAGTAGATCTATCAGGCTTTGATACAGACACAATACTTGTTTGTAAGTAGGATCATTGTTGTTTCTTTTTCAAGGATTTTGTAACAGTAAGAAAATACATAGAATAGCACCAGACTACACTATAAATACAGGGCCTTACAACATGGGGTATCTACTGGCATGACTGTTAGACCCAGCCTCATTACTTTTGTACTGTTACTAAGCCACTGATAAATTCTGTCTATTTTATCTATGATATTTTTTCTTTGTTTTGCAAGTGTATTTTTTTTTTTGATTTTCTACATTTACAAGAAAAGCTTAATCCAACAAAACCAGGTAGCCAAATCATTTATGGACACCCTTTTTATGATGACACATGCATTTCTTACACAATAAAAAACATGTTTTGTGGCTGCATTGCTTTAGGTTATGGTCGCAAAAGGAAAAGCAACATTCACCCTGTAGGAAAAATGGCAACATTTAATTCAAGAGCGGAAACTTGTCATCAAAAATGTCATGATAAATGTTGTACCTCCTTTCCTCCTTTTACTTAACTTATTAAAAGCAACATATCTGGCTTTTTTTTTTTTTTACTTGCTTAATAACTGGCACTTTTTAAATTTCAATAATAATTTTAGCTGGGTATCAACAATGTCCTTCTCTACTTGGATATTTTAAGGGGTCAGGGGTCATTAAGGACAAAAGACATGGATAGCTCTTCAAGCATGTTGTTTGTGTTTGTGTTTGTGTTTGTGTGTGTGTGTTTGCTAGGCAGAGAGAGAGAGACATGTCCATACCTGCCACTGACCTGCAGACCAGCCAGGAGGAACTCACTTTGCCAGATGTTCAAATGGCACACTGACCTGAGTAAGGAAGGAAAGATGAGAAGCTTTAAGCTGATCAAAGAGGAGAAGACAGACACCTGAAGAAGACACTGTTTTTAAAATGCGAGCTCTTCCACACTCAAATCCTGTTTGGTAAGGCTACGGATCTTTGTGATCTGTCATCAGTTACACAAAGGCTGCTGCTAGCATAGAAACAATTCAGATGGCGGGTGGGCCCACAGAGAAACAGAAACACACAAAGTGACCAAAGGTTTTGACCTGGAACAGTCGGCTTCAAATCAGAAAACCACCACTAAGTCATCTCACTCACTGGTGCAATCAGTGAACGCCTGTTATACTGTTAAACTATCAAGATCATAGGATAATATGCAAATGTGCTTGTTTTGTCTACTTCATAGTTAATTTATGCAAATTCAGATTGTACAGTGTAAACTGAGATTTTATCTTTTGGAATGTGGAACATCTGCTCCACTAAATTGTCACAGAGCATGTAAGATTATCTGAGTAGTGATGTAAAGACTGTCTGGGTTTTAAAAATGGCTGCTGACATTACTGCAGGATGCAGATATGATCCCTAATAAATGAAGAAGCATTTAATAGAGTTCAATTACACATGATAAAGAGGCTTTGGAACACAAGGAGCCTGCCTTGGTGGATTAGTCTATTCTGTGTTTGTATCATGTCAGACTTAAACTGCACAGTAACAAAACCTCTCCACATCAATATCTTGTGGTGGTAATTATGAGTAGAGTGTGTTTGAATATCTTCCCAGCTTCAATATTTGCAATTTGGCATCATGAATAATAAATTTGTATCAACATGAGCGGCGAGCATAACAGAGAACGTAGCGATGTCAGCAGTCCAAGGTAATGAAAATCCTTATGATCCATTTCATTCACAATAAAATGCAATTAATGCGACACAAGAAAAGAGAGAAATATCTACTGCAGCTTATTTATGGTTGAGTTTTGTAAATTCTAAAATAAGGCCAAGAGTCTACAGACATGCCTGAAGCTCTGTGAGGCTGTACTTAGGCTCAGTGGTGATTTGAGCTAAATGCTAACATCAGCTTATGGACATGCTCAAAATTACAATGCTAGCACATAGTATAATGTTTAACATGTTTAGCGTATTAGTTTTGTGTGTTAGCATACCACCACAGCTGAAAAAAGTCATTGGTTTTGCAGGTATTTGGTCATAAACCAAAGTATTGGACAAATAAAAAAAAAAAAGAAAACAATTTTAAATCTCATGGTAGCACTTGAAAAAAAGTCAGGGATCACCAAAGTCATTTGGGTATAGCGTCAGGAGACCTTGAATGTCCGTGAACATTTTTGTGCTAATCCCCTCAGTAGACTGAAGTCAGGGTATCTCACCTTTAAGTCAGAGCTTTGATATGCCTATGACACCATAGGAAAAGTAAGATGCTCACCAAAGTCAGTAGGATTGATCCTCTGTGGATCATGAATGTCTGTACAAAATCTCATGGTGATCGGCCAAACAGTTACTGAGATATATCAATGTGGACTAAAGCCGTGGACTGACTGACCAACTAGCATGGCTGCTAACATGGCTAAGAATGATTCAAGAAACACAGGACTTTCTTCAGTTTGCATCAGTCAGATGTCATGCCTGGGTCCAACCTTGGAATATACCCACTCCACAGAGCTGACTGATTCACCTGGCATCGTGACATGGAACAGCAGTTTCTCAGTTAACATAAAAAACAATCAATGAGGGCCGCACAGGGGGACTAACAATTAGCCAATCAGCACCACATGCAGAATTCACCCTGTTGTCATACTGTTATCAAGCTGTTGTCAAGTGGTGCGCCAAAGCCAATGAGGAGTAATAACAACAATTACGAGTGCTGTACACAAGACAGATGTTGCTATTTCTTCTCCCAAAATCTTACTTTGTTACACTTCACTCCGCACCACTCATAAAAACCCTGGCAAAACCTGTATGTTGCCATGGCTACGCATCAGTGTGGACTTAAAATGACAACAGAGTCAAGTGTATATGTGGGTCTCTAGTGATTGGTTAGTGAAAACTGAATCTCCCTCTCTCAGGGAAATCAGTAAGAATAGACATAATGTCACACTGAAGATGGAAATGGAGTGGAATGAGTTGACAGTTCTGTCTGATATCAGGCAATTTGCACTTGCAACATGTGATGACTCAGTCTGTTTGTTGGCCCTGTGCTCTGTGATTCGCCACCTTAATCTGTATGTCCTAGTGAATAAGAGGACACTCTCAGTTGAAGCAACTGATGTGCATAAAACATGCGGTGCCTCCCTTCACAACAGAGTCTTGCTGAACCTGTAAAGCCACAGTCTTTCTACCTGTGATGCAGTGATGCGTGACTGGTCGAGGCGTGCAGTGAGGTCGGAGGAGGAGACATTGGCAGGGGCCCCGCGGTGAAGCCTCATGGCCACCTTCCTCTCTCGCTCGGCTCGCTCTGCTCTCCCCGCCTGAGGAGAGCGGTTACCTGCACACACAGACACGTGCTTGATTTGAAAGCTTACAGTCTGTTACAGTTGTATCTCCAAAACCACAAACAGCTTTCTGACCTGACTGCTGGACCCCACGTGTGGCTGGGTTTGCGGGAGCGGCATCTGCCTCGTTCCTGACTCTGTTGGCTGCTGAAGGGTTTGGACCAGGCGGCAGAGCTCGACCTCCAGCTCCTCTTTGGCCTCCTCCTGCTCGCTCCTCCCCTTCTTTTCCCTCCCTCCTCTCCCTCTCTCCATCCTCTGCGGTCCTGCTGGCCCCCTGAAACAAAGAGGAATAGTACAGATGTAAACATGCTGGAGAGGAGAAAAAGGACAAAAACATATAATAGAAAAGGCATTTGAAACCTCTAGGCTGGAAGTAGTTTGCAAAAGCATGATGCTCACAGTGTCCTGTGAATATAGCAACTGTTACAGAACGTGATGAGCCACTTACAAACTTTAGCATATTCCAGTCAAAGACGTAGTCATAGGAGAAGCCCTGTCTGTGGAAAAGGTTCCTGAAGAGCTGCCTCAGATATGAGTAGTCTGGCTTGTCGTCAAACCGCAGGGAGCGACACAAATTCAGGTAAGTGGAGAACTCAGCTGGGAGACACAAGAGAGAAATCAGAATCAGCTTTATTGGCCAAGTGTGTATGCACATATAAGAAATGTTGCTTCAAGTGGAGTCAGAGGAAGTGGATTTTAAGCAAAGAAAGTCAGGTGTCAAACCTTCTGAGAGGAAATGTGACAGAAATATTGCAAAAGTCCTCTTTAAAGTGGCCTCTCTGCTGTTATTAGTGTCTGTTTCTGTGTACTCACAAGGGTATCCCTTGCAGAGCACTTCAATGGGGGTGGACATTTTCTTCTCACTGATGCGTTCATACTTCTGCCTCTTGGTGGCAGCCTTGAGCCCCTGCCAGGGCAGAGAGCCCAGGTTGAAGTACATGAGAACATAGCCTAGAGACTCCAGGTCGTCTCGCCTCGACTGCTCTGTGGAGGAATAGACAGAAAGAGCAAGAGAGAAGACAGGAGAGGCAAAAAAGTTTGAGGAGGGAGAAGCAAAGGAGACAAAGAAAGAGGATAAAAGTTGAAGGAAAGGAGAGGTAGCTGCAGTTCTAATAATCCAGTCCTGATCGATAAGCATGCATATTGCAACATGTTCTACTGACACTGCTGTGAACACACACATAAACCACAGTGGGGTTAGCAGAACACACACATTCACACTTGCACAGATATCTAGGCCAGTCTCTGTGTGTACGCTGTCTTACCGATGCCCAGATGCGTGTTGATGGAGGCATAGCGGGCCGTGCCGGTTAGGTTCTTATTCTCACGGTACGGGATGTGCTGGTGCGTTCGGGCGTCACGGTACTTCTTGGCGAGGCCAAAGTCGATAATGTAGACCAGGTTGCCCTTCTTGCCGAGCCCCATCAGGAAGTTGTCAGGCTTCACGTCTCTGTGGATGAAGTTCTTGGAGTGGATGTATTCAATCCTACTGATCTGGAACGGAGAGACAGGGAACAGGGTTTAGCTGGGATTAACGGAGAGTATTAGTGGTTTTGCATGTTGTTGTCCATTAACAAAAAAATTCAATTCATGGGGTATACTGTGAGTTTTTAGGTTTAGACCTTTCAGGAATCCCCTGGGTTATTTTATTTCAGTGTGCTATGAGAGTCAGTCAAAATGAATCATAAATATGTATTTGCCTTAGAGGGTCACTCACTCACACACTGCAATTTAGCACTGCACTTTCATAAAGGAGGACTTGGAGTGTTGGAGGACTCACAAGAGGCAGATTTAAAAAAGAAATGGTCAAAGCAGCAGAGGGCAAGATATCTTGACTTTTACTCCTGAATATGGGTTTAGCTCCATAAACAATGGATCCTATAGCTCCCATAATGCAACCAAATAGTCTTTTGTTAGATAAGTGCCCACATCTTAAGCTGCCTTCAAATGGGTTGTGTAACAGTGTTCAAATGAAGGCCCCCCTGTTGTGACGTGCTTACTGACATTTTCAGAAATGATGAATGCCTGGAAGTTGTTTTTTTTTCTGTGGACGGTAAGATTATATATTGTAATTTTTGTCGTATGGTGTTTTTCTTTTTAATTTTAATAATATATCTGAGGAAAAGATAGATAATGCCTTTGCATTTCCTCCATTATGTTACCTGCTTGCTAGCTTGCTAAATTGTTAGCCTTGGTGACGTCTAGACGCTGACAGTAACATTAATATTAGCTCATGTGCTTTTTAGTTATAAGTAATTACTGCAAACTTTTGTAGTTCATGTTGCTGTTGCCTAGCAGCAGTGTTCTCACATCTTAAACCACTTCAACTTCAAGCCTTAACCACGAGCTCATGAATACCATTTAAAGGCAGCAATATACCCCAAGTTTTTAAACGCAGGCTGTCTGTTTAAAATTGGAGTCTCAAGCAAAATTCGACATACCATAAATGCGAATTGAATCTAAAGAAGGCTCCGTTTAGAGTCACGGGACAGTATACAACTGTTTTCACAGGTCGAGTTGTACTCCTTTTGACAAGTTCACTGGTTTTCATGTGTTGAATCAATCTTTTGTCACAGTTACATAATAACATTTCCATGTAATAATGCATGTTGCCATCATGAACTGCTCTGACATCCAAGATTCAACGTCACCTACCAAAGGGCATTCTATTAATAAGTTGTTATAAAATCAAAGCCAGAAGACAAAAAATAACACAGAGGGACAACATTAAAAGGATCATACTGTATGTATCGGGTGTTTCTTACATTAAAAACATTGCCCTTAAGAAGGCTACTGTAACATCTCAAAAGTCATAGTGTCCTTGAATGCACCAACAAGGAGTTTTTTTTAAGCAGAGCATGCTCACAGTTACAAAATCAAACTACAGTCACCGTTTTCACAAAATAAGGAAAGTAATGGTGCCCTTAAAGTGACGGATTACCTTTCACATCTCAAGCTGATTTTCATAGTGCAATAAAAGAAGTGGAGATCAATGACTGCCTATAAGGTGGGAAATGCATCTAAAATCATCTGCTGTGGTGTGCTTTAAAAAAGAGTAGTATTGTCGGTGCCTTAGTGTGTGCAGTTGTTGGGTGTGGTCCTTGAAGTTTTATATTTGTTGAAGGGTTGACCCCTTCTGTATTTCTAGATAACATATGGGTGTTGGTCACATGCTTAAAAACACGCACTGTGGAATACAACTGAGTGATCTGATGTTTGAAAATATATAAATGAGGATCTATCTTTCCACATGTTTTCAGATTAGTGAGTTGGCTGAACGTCTTTATATTCCCATAGTTACAGAGTGTTTAGTCTAAAACTGAAAGTGAGTTTTAAAGGCCACAAGTCTCAATGCCTGGTGAAATAATAGTTGAGTCATTGGTATTAATCAATAACACTGTCAGTCAGTCTGCAGATATATAGAGTTCATTTTATGTTATGGGAGAGTTAAAATCTTAGTTATCGCCCCTTTAGAGGAGAGGAGAGGAGAGATGTTACAATGACAGCACAGAGAGCGATTAGGAAAAGAGGTCAAAGTTGCAGAGAGAAAATGGGACGAAAAGAACAAACGTGCCGGTTGTAGACTAAAGAATGACATATGAGGGATTAAAGAGGCTCATAAAAAACACCACGGGCTGACCCCTGCGACGGGGATTAGGCCGTCTTGCGGAGCTTCCATGTCCTAGATTGGAATTGACTTTTATGGAGGAGCTGAATGGTCGGAGATAGTGAGGGGATAAGCTTTGTCTGGAGCCAGGAAACAAGCTTCAGAGGTTTAGATGAGAATTATTCTCCGATTTCAAATGATCCATTTAGTTCCAGTCTAAAAATAGCCACATCCTTTTATTGAAATCAGTGTAACTTCCCAGCCTGAGGTTGACTTCAGTGCATTATGTGGGAGCAAAGGTGCATGTTTAGACAAATATGAATAGGATTGGAATAGTATTATTTAGCAAGTACCTTCCCATCATTTACAACTATTACGGTTTATCTATTGTTTTCCTTGGATGCCCGGAGGAACCTCTTTACAAAGACTCAATGAACCCTGATGAAGCCTCCATGAAATATAACAGTGTCCTTCAGCGAGCTCTTCAAGTAATTACTTACTACGGAGGGACTGCGTGGCAATTATCGGCTCTGGATCCCAAGAAAAACCCTGATGAACTATTGTGTTTTACAGTGCGGACTGCAGTCAGGAAGTCTGTCTCACCATCTGGTCGGCCAGCAGCAGGACTGTTTTCAGACTGAATTTGCGGGAGCAGAAGTTGAACAGGTCCTCCAGACTGGGCCCCAGCAGCTCCATTACCATAACGTTGTAGTCACCCTCCGCTCCACACCACTTAATAGACGGGATTCCCACTGTGGGGAGGAAGGGTAGGGGAATCACAGGATTAGGAAACACAATAGTGCATTAACAGACAGAGTTGAGTAACTAGTGTATATATGGGTTACAATCCACCAATTTTCACTGCAGTTTGCATTTATACTACTACTGCCACTATAGCAGACAATTAATATTTACTTTACTTTTAGGTTTATCAACAATCTATTTTCAGTTTTACCTACTGTTTAACTGTTTATCCATTACTTGTTTAACATTACTTGTTTTGGACTCTTCTTAGTCACAACTTAAAGGCATACTATGCAGGAATTGTCGGCTACCATTTGTAAACACCATCGCCAGCTAAAGTAAAAATTAAATTAAACCCCAGATTCACTCTCGTTTTGAAATAAGCTTTGTCCGCTTGATGTTATTTTTTGGTGCTGTGTCATGCAATTTTTGCAGCTTCCTCTTGGATGTGTGCTGCTTACTGTCTTGCACCTGGTCCCTATGTTTTTATAAAGTCCTAACCTCACCTGCATGCTGTACCGAGGAGCATCCCAAACACAGCAAAATCAAAAAAAAAAAAAATCCAGGCAGAGAGCAGAGTCACTGCATATAAGAACACTGCCACGCACTTCCAGTGGGTCGTAAGTGATGACTGAGAGGGATTATTTCTGTATGAGTCTACACATTGTTTGTTTGTTTGTTAGGGAAAATCCTGCACAGTATACCTTTAAATTGCTCAGTTGTAATAACTGACTCAATACGCTGACATTTTTTTCACATCAAATAGAAATTTCTATTTCATCAAATGACTTGAGCTCCTTGACAATCTTCCCATGTATCTTCTGATAACTACAGAAGTACCCCATGTATCCAAGCACCTCTGGTTGGGAATCACTGCTCTAGAGCACCCAGTATGTGGCTTTAATGTTGCATAATATAACAATGAAATCATAACAATACACCTGCATCTAATCCTTATAATATTTATTACTATTTTTATTATTATTATGGGAAGTAGTACTATAAGTCAGTGGTTTTCAAACTTTTTGTGCCCAAGGCACACCAAGGGGCGAGGCAAAATCTCAAGGCACACCTGTATTTATATCTGAGCACAACATCCTCTATTATGTGTGTTATCACTCTTATGACAACATAAATGTTTGTTTTTATTTACTAATATCAAACAAAATTGACAACCAACTATTACTCATGAAATATTTATTCAAAAAATGATTCAAGAATTCATTTTAAACGTTTTAAAATTACATCAAAGCACGAATAACACATCCATTTAAACGGGCTTAAATGTAAGACATGTGACGTGTCACACACTTATAATTCCCTCACATGAATAGCAATAAATAGGTTCCCTGTGAAGGTTTTTTTTTAAATAAAATTGAATTTTTTAGGTAGAGTTTGCCTCTATCAGGAAATAGATGAGCATGACATACTGATACTATCAATTAAAAATTCATTCATAACTTTTTGTATAAGCCCAGTTGAATATTGCAATAATAATATGTGGTTATCCCGAAATCCCACAGCACACCTGGATTTGCAACACGGCACACCATTTGAGAACCACTGGTATAAGTAGTCACAACATAGGTACCACTACATAATACATCTTTTTTATATTACTTATATCATCATATAAAAATGCTATATTACTACTACTAGTGAATTATTTCTGCATAGCGTGCATGTTACATAATCTGCACATATATTATATAAACATACTTTAATATGTAATTATATGTATTGTACTTATTTATTCTTACACCTATATAAATGTTTATATTACAAATAGTACACATTTCATGTCATGCCCTATGTGCACCAATGGATTTCTTTGACACAAATATTTGAATAATTTCCTTATATAATTATTATGTAACTTGCATATTAAATAATGGTCATTATATTATAGTTTTATTGTGATGTATATATAGTATAAAGCTACAAATTCCCTCATTTTATTTAAATATTGACTTTAAATTTAAATCTTATTTTACCATGTATTTTTCTTTTTTTCTTTTTTTTTTCATTAAAAAACTTTTTCACCTGCCTCTCTTACATCTGTCTTGTCTCTGTCCTGTTGTGATGTGAATGTTTCCCCCAGGATCAATAAAGTCTTATCTCATATTAGTTAATTCCATCATTAACATGCAATGCTTCAATACCTCCTAACAGCCATGACTACACCTCAGTGCTACTGAACAACCACTGATATCGCTCAACAACCTTAAAAACTGTCTTAAATGCTCCTTAATTTCAGTCAAAGATGCCTTTCAGTGTCCCAGAATGACCCTGAATGCACCTTAAATGCCCCTAAATGTCCTGAGATGTCTTTTAATGTCTCTAAATACACTGCAATGCCTTCTAAATAACTGTAATCATTGCTCATTCCCCTCCGCAGCCCTAAACACCCCTAAGCGCCCCTTAAACTGTTCACTGCCTCTCAGTGCCCCCTAGTAAAGCTTCCAAAATCCCTGAAACACTTCTTGTGCGTCTTACCTCCACCCTGCATCATCTTGTAAAATTTGCTCTCAATGTGGAGCTGTGGATGTTTGGTTTTCACACATTCCAGTTTGATGGCTACTTCCTCTCCTGTAGCGATGTTAGAACCTGTCCGGGAATAGCAGAGATGTAATTACAAGACATCAGTAAATTCCAACACATAAAGGGTCTTTTGATCTGTGAAATTTGAGAGCGAGATCTATTTAACATAGTTCGCAAAAACTATATGTGTAATATCCGCTTTTGTTGGAATTTAAGAAAATAAGGAACAATATCAGGTTAGCACAACACAAACAGTCCAAATTCTCACCAAGGTAAATATCTCCAAAGGATCCGCTCCCTATCTTCCTCCCAAGGCGGTACTTGTTCCCCACCCTCAACTCCATGGCTCCTGAGCTTTTCAACTCACTGAAGGGGTAAATGCACACACACACACACACACACACACACACACACACACACACACAGATACAAACACAAAGCTGTCATCAATCAGCGGTGATCAATAGAGTAAAAGGACAGTGGTGCAAAGCTGCAGACTTCAGACTCAAAGCTACGAGCCCTGGGGCGGCTGAATCATGAAAGAAAATGAAAGTGGAGGCTTGGGAAAACCGATGGCAGAGATGAGAAAGAATGAAAAGTGCAAATTGCTGAGGTGAAGCAGTGACGTAGTGCAGCCTGAGTTGAATCACTGGAACTAGGAAGGAAAATGTTGCTCACTTCCAGCTATAAAGTGACTTCATGTAACTGTGGAAGCAAATCATTTCTCAATATACAGGATCTGATGTTACCACCCTGCTGCTCCTACCAGCCATGTTTTGTTGAGTTGGAGACATTACATCTTCAGAGGCCACGATGATGAATCCTGGTGTCTCAGAGAACAACAATATAGGCCAATGAAGTGTTTACGAAGTGCATGGGGAAAAGGTGCGAGCAAAGAAGAACAGAGCGTGTAGTTGTATAACATGATTTATTCAGAGCTGCTGGGGGGGGGAGCTGGATCAGCATCTCACACACTCTTCCCAAAGCACTTCAAGGGAGTCTGGTCTTGTGTACAAGTGATTTGCATAAACTCCCAATTTCTGACTGGAGTCCCCTGACGAAATTTGAATGAGTCACGTTTTCCTCACCCAAGCCCTATCTGTGTGAACAGCCATGAAATAGGGACTTAAATGTGGGAAACAACTGGGGGCTTTTTTTGACAGGGGTTAAGCTTTACATGCCTGTTTGACATTGCACTAAACGCTGACTAAGTTCGTTTTTTTGGCTGCATTGTAGACCTACATACACCCCATCCATATACGCTGTGCAGGGAAAATAAGGCAGAGCAAGCCACTGCTGCACATTACCAAACCCTTTACCTCAAGTCTCCCCAGCTCATCTCCTCTCGCAGCCTCCTCAGAGCTGCTATACTGTCAGTGTTACAAAACTGAGACCCACTATTGCTGCAAAGGACTGCAAAAACAGGCAAGACGTTGTATTTTCAAAGAGAATACTTCATGCAGTTGCCCCAGATAGCACAGGAGATGAAATGGGGAAGGTGCTGGATGCAAAAACACACCGTTCACCCCCCACTGACCATCAAACGTGGTAATAATTCCCATAACCGCACCCTCCATATACAGGTAGGACCTCTGAACAAGCGCACCCCCCACCCCAACACGACTCTATTTGGACTCTATTTGTCTAACCTAACACACACCATCACACATACACACAAGCCTCCAGACACTAGCCAACATACACCCCCCACCCCACCTCCTCCTCACCGGGTTATGTCAGGCTCCGTGGTCGCCCGCTGGCTGTGTCTCACTCAGGACCCTGGACAGCGACGCACCGACGCGGCTTCGGACGGCTCATAACCTCGGAGATCTGTCACCCGAACCCCCGCTCCCGAAACAAGACCCCCAAATAACACAGCTGATGCGAGCCGACCGGAGCCCCCTGGAAGATATTCACTGTCACGATTTTTTTTTCTTTGGAGGAAAAACGCCGAAACCAGACACTGAGGTCCTTCTCTCTCTCCTCTCTGGCTGCTCTCCTCTCTCTCCCCCTCTCACACACCCCCACCCAGCCCTCTCTCAGTTTACACCATTGACAATATCAATGATGTCATCCACAGACTTGAAGAGATGCCCGGATTGTCTTAAAGCCGCCGTGCTGCTGCTGGGCTTTGCAGGCATGAATGAAGCGCACCGACACACCAGCTGCACTCACACCCTTCACTTAGAGTTGCGACATGCATTTACACCAATACATCACTCTCACATTCATCCTTTAAGTAAAATGTAGAAAATATATGTAATAACAGCATGGGCAGGTCAGTGCTGTGTGTGTGTGTTACACCAATTGTTGTGTCTAGGAGAAGTGTCAACACCCTCTAGTGGTGCTTCCTATAAAAATGTCTTACTTTATAACCCACATTTCTTGTGAAAAATTTGAACACTTGATCACAGGCCTAATTGGAGTGGAACTGCAAATATTTTATATTTTTCAGTAGCCTGTACAGTGAAACCCTACTGAGTGCCATTAAAAGCGCTTTATACACAAAATCTTAACATAGACTTCAATGCTATTTGACCCTAAACAAACAGTACACATGTCTGACACTATCTGACCGCTGTGACAGATCAGAAACTGAGAAAGATACTGACTATGTACAGACTCGGTGATCACAGCCTGGCCATAGAGACTAGCACATATGACGACATCAGAGCAAAGTTATTTACGAAAATGAAATGTTGTGGCCAGACTAAAATGCAACATCTGCTTGGAGAAAATAGTGTCAGCGCCATAGATGCAGCAAGATATGTCAATGCATATCACAGCCTCAGAGACAGCCAACACAACATATAGTTCATCTCATCTCATCACAGATCACTCTGTCTTTTTATTCACCCCTTCACTTAGTAATTTGTTGTAATAATAATAATTTGTAATAATACGTTGTTAAATGTTTTCGAATTTTCACTGTCTTAAATTGTAATTGTGCTTTGGCAACACATAAGAAATGTCATGCCAATAAAGTGGCTTTATCACCCTCCTAAAATGGACTTCAAAGTGGTGCCGTCATTAGCACAGCTGCCACTTAAGTAAGCTAATTAACATCACCTCTGTTGGACTAAAACTAGTAGCTATGAGTATCTGTAAGGTAAGTAGGTCTTTAAGACAATTTTACAGCATACATTCATTTTAACAGCAAAACCAGTATGTTAACAAGGAACCACTATGAGGAGTAAAAAGGCTAACGAGTTTCAGTTAACTAATGTTACACGAAAACGGTTTCGCTTTGCTAACTTAGTTTAGCGGCTAACAGCTAGCTTAATTTGTTTAATTTGACATGAAAACATTAAACAGGAAAAAATATTTTCATGGTATCTTTAAACGCCCAAAAGTTGTGTTGACTTCTGCAAGTACCTTACCAATTTACTGTAGTAGAAAAGGCGGAGTTCAGTTTACTGGGCCGGGATGGATAATTTACAGAAAAATTGAGAATACACAAATATGTTGGTGCGCATGCGCCGGATTAATTAAAGGACGTGGCAGATGTAGACCTTCAAAGGCCGCAGCCCCTTTAAACTATACAAATGTAAACTGCAGTGTATTTTTTTAGTTAGCTTTCACTTTTCTGTTATTCATATTTGCTTGGACTTTTTTAAAATTCAAAATAATGACTAATTTCCGGAGAATCCTACAACTAAGCCTATTAACAGAAATGTGTTCCTCTAGCCTGGCTTTGATTAGTCTCGCCACCAGACAATCAGAGATCTCCGCCTTTAGTTAAGCAAAGCGTCTAAAGATTGACTTGTGAGTCTAGGCTTTGATTGGACTAAGGGACTGTTCTTTACTTATCAGAGGAGAGGGGCCGGCTGGGGTTTGACTTTGTTTGTATTTTGCCTTGAATTTCCTACATGACCCTCCCTCCAAGGTTTATTTACTGCAAAACTGAGGCATACACATTTTAACTTAGGTTATGATTTTTTTTTCTGACGGATGCATTCATTGTGCATGATACATTCATTGACAGTCTGAAATGTGAAAATCAAGCAATTATTCCTGGTTTCACAGCTTCTGACTATAATAAAAGACGTATTTTTCGTTAATTTTTAAAGAAAACATGCCGTTTAACCTGCCATCAGGTTTCTGAGGGTATTAAGGATATTTAAATACAAATACAACCATTTAAAGGTGAATGTCTCTCCCCTGAACCAAAATAAAAAAACATTATTCCCTCCCCAGTGCTTGAAAAATTATTTGACATGCCTCCCTCAATTCGCACCACCCCCTCCCCTCTCATAAGTAATGGACATTCCCTGAAGTTATGGGCTTGTATTACAATTGATAAAAAATTCTTTGTTGACCGCAGCCAGTGTTTGTGAAACTGAATCACTTTTTGTCCAAAAATCACAGGGAAACATTAACTTGAGAGGTTCCTTTCTGCAGTGGAATTACTTCATTATTAATCTAAAAATACAAAGTCAAAAGAGAAAAAACAAGACAGTTGGGGGGGATGAGAAATCAGGGACTACTCCAGAATTTATGCAGCATTCACCCTCACATTAACTGTTCTAGCACTGCTAATGACAGGTGTAGGGAGATTTTGAATGCCTTGGATGCAAGAAATTTGCTGCAGTGAACACTGCTTCATTCACTGTGTATGGAACAATGCTGCATCACAAGACAGTCCTATTGACTTCACTGTCCCATGGTACATGGATAACATGAATTCAGAAGCTGGTTGGCATTTCACCTCAAACAGCAGAGGACAATGTGCTATGAATACCTGACATCCTGTCGGTCAACGACTCAATCACACACACCAAACAACAAACCACTACAGACTTCAATTCAACCTTTATTATCTTGTTCTTTTCTGCTTTAAATTAATTTCCTCTCCTTTTGTAACATCTGAAATAAATGAAAACATCCTGAACAGGAGTGATAATAAAGACTGACTTAATTTAAATTGATACATAATAACAAAAAAACAAACAGTAAAACATAACAGGTAATGTCTTTAACGTGTCTGTAAAACACTGTTCCAGCTCAGCTTGGTATGGTAGGATTTGGCATCTTTATAGAAATGCCTTCAGTTGGTTGCGTCGTCTTAAAAACATAATATTCTCTTATTGCATTTGGCAGAAAAAAAAAAAATACAAACAGGAACAAAACGCTGCTAAAAAACACAACTTAAGAGACATATGCAATAGTGCCAATGTTTTTGAACTTTTTAGCTATCACAATATCCAGACAGTCAAGCACGCAAACATGTGTACACATCCACACACGCACCCTTTCTCTCAAATGTAAGCTGTCAGATTAACATCTATTCACTTCCCTGACTGGAGCAGATAAGTGTTCAAAAGCAAGCGCACACGCACGCACGCACGCACACACACACACACACACACACACACACTTCTCATGAATCTCTCATGGACAAGAAAAATAAACAAAAAAACATTCAACATTGTAGCAATTAACACAGACACTCCCGATATCATCGTCATCATTATCTTCATCACATCCTCCTCCATTCGGTCATACTGTCATCACTCCTTTCATGCACACACAGGCAGGCAGGAGGGCACCTTGTACAGCGAGTAAATAAGTGATCATAGTCATCATTAACATCATGACAATATATAATAACCAACTTGATTTCTCGAGTAAGAAAAAATACAATAGCGAGGTCAGTGTTTGAAGGGCAAAAAAAAGGACATCTCTGAATTTTCCACAAAGTTTCACACATTTCTCTTTTCTTTTAAAACAGAAGAAAATGATAAACAACCGACGTACATCAACAAGGAGATACAATTTTGCTTGTCAAATATAAGAGCAGTGTGTAACTGATGAGAAGGTGTGAAGGCTGCTGACATGGCGGGCGGGCGGCCGCTGGTTGTTAGCCAAGGCCACTGCTGTTGTAACATTTAGTTGTCCTGTAAGGTCTGTGTAGTTGTGTTGTAGCTCTGTTTCAAAAATGGAGGGATTTGTGGAGGATGTGTCAACAACAAACCCAGAGGCATATAGTGCAAGTTTGGCTAATGTTGTTTCTGTTTGATTTTTCTTTTTTTTTTTTTTTTACCCTGGGTCCCATGTTGATGGCATATTTCCACCAAGGTAGAGGTGTCGGTACCTACTAGAAACGCTCTCCTTTTCCAGATCTCAAAAGGTTGCTGATCATCCGTTTGACTCAGTAGTGTGGCGCTGTCCCAAATTTTCTACAAACTCCAGATCCTTCCCCACTCTCAAGCTTCCGAACATGAGAACTTAGAAGTACGCCAGCCAGGTCTATGAGGGCTCAGTCTGCAAGTCTGAATTTTTGAGATTCGACCATTAAATAGTAATACAAAAGAAAATAAATTGTGGCACACTAAAAACAGCAATAGCTAAACTTGTTGACATGTACGACTCTGGCTGAGCCTGTCTACAGTGCATGCCTGAGTGATCGGGTCTCTGAATGCAGATGGTGGGATTTGAAGTAAAAAGACAAAGAGCTATCCAGTTGAGTCCTAAAGAGTTTAATGGATTTCACCTTTTTCCCCGGTTCAAGTTTTACTGTTGTCTTCATTTAAAGTTAAGCGGTTTAATGTGTATGTGTGAGAATAATGTGTGCATGTAGCCTGTGTGTAGTATGAATGTTGAGTGTCTGCATGTTGGGTAACCAGTGTAGCTTTAATTCATGTCATCTCTCTACGTGTAAATAAATACAGAGTGTGACATATGTATTACAACTTGGGTGTAAAATATATGTGTGTCAGTCAGCCCCTTAGATGGAGTCAGTCCCCCCGCCCAGCAGGTCCCCTGGCAGCAGTGAGGCGGGGCTGCCCATCTGGTGACGATCCTCAAGTGCCGGGGAACCCCAGAGGCTACTGCTGGGGTACCCCGCCCCGCTCATCCCACCCATCCCCCCCCACAGGCCCTGCCTTCCGGCCCCCACACCTCCAGCCCCGCCCACCCCGGTTCCATTGCTGCTCCACTGGGTGAAGATTCCCAGCTCGGGCCCCTGGGTGGCAGACTGGTCCGATGAGCTGCCTGTGCTGTCC